TTCTCACGCATTTGGCAATACTTGGATCCAAAGGGGGCCCAGAGATTATCCCTTTAGTCAAGTGTTCGCACCGTCTTTAACGGAGAGTCATCTAAAAAATGTGCGTTCTTTTGTTAGGTGAAATGGCTGACAGAGAACTCCCAACCATCGGACTCGACCAAGGACCCACGGTCCACGGTATGTCACATCAAGATTGAGAAGCGAGGAGCTCTTCCAGTGGGCAAGGATGTGGCACGGCGCATGTGGAGCGGTTCATTGAGTTCCATCGGTTTCGGGAGGATGTTGTCCGGTTCGCTTTACGGTGCTCCATTTCGGGAACGAGATGGAAGGAGGAAAGTTTCAGCTTCACTTTTGGGAGTCCTTTACCTCTCCATTCCCACAGGAAGCTCATACAATAAAGTGAAGCACCTTTTGCGTGGTTTTTGGAGTCAAGTATGTCTTCAGAAGAGTCCTGCACCCGGGTGGAACAGGCCACTGCTGAGTAGCTGCACTCTGGCATGCGAGGAGGATGGCGATAATATATATATATATAGAGATATAGATATAGATATGATTCTGGCGACGGTTCTGATGTTTAGTTTAGTTTTGCAACAACATAGCCCACATGTATGTTTGTCACATGCATCTACTGTCCCTACTTTACAGTTCTAATCAAACTTTAACAGGGCGCCCCATATGCTGTTCTATATTTTCTATGCCCATTTTCTTAGGCAAGTTGAGACAAGGTCCTGTAGCAATCTCACGCTACTCTAGTGATGACTTGCCACAGCGACCGTCCGCTTTTGACGTACCATCGGGTGTGTTGTTTAGCTAGCCCTACCACAGTTCTTCAAAAAGTAGAGGTTTGTTTGTTGATGAATGTACAATGTTACAATGGGTTTGTTATGCAAAGTTCCCCCAAGCACATTCCCAGGCAAGGTTCCCACGTCCAAGTAAGTCAGTCCCCAGCCAGGTCACCAAGCAAGGTTCCCTCAAGGGGCCAGCGAAGTTATGAGCTGGTAGGTGCCCAGCTGCGTTTCCCGGCAAGCTCGTCACTCTGAAGCTCTAGAGAGTTGGAAGACCCAACAGTGCCAAAGCATTATGTGTTGTGAAGATTGACGCTACGGAGCTTGCTCTTGCAGAAGTTCAGCTGGGATCGTACTGACAGAGATACTTTGGTTCTTGAGGCTGCTGGTCAGGCGGATCACTGCAAAGATGTTCTCCAAAGCAGCTTTCACCGTGCAGAAAGGAATATGCTGAGGCAAGGGAGGCACGGGCGCCACTGCCAATGGTGCTCCATCGTCGTCTCAAATGCCAAGCAGCCCGGGAGTGTTGTACTTTTGGAGCCACTGACGGCCATGAATGGGTGTGTAGTTGAATAGGGAGACCTCCAATCAAAGGTTTTTGGTTTATGTTCCTTCTTCCAGGGAGTCGAACTGAGAGGTCTCCCATTGTAATACACGCCCATGGGCTGCCCGTTGGGGCAGCCCAGTTGTTCATCCGAGACGCGGCGCATGGCTGACAGCGCTGGCCTCACAGTTGCATCGTCGCAGTATGCAGACGGCTGATGACATGGCTGACCAACATACAGCGACGGCGATGAACACTGCTACTACTGCTGCCAGTGCTAGCATGAGCTTTTGTGTTGCTTTCAAGCGGTACTTTACTATTGCTGCTACATATAATCATATATTACTGCTACTAGTTACTAGTGCTTGTAGTCTTGCTGCTGCTGCTCTTGCCGCGCTGGGCGTTTGCTACTAAGCCGGCCAGAACAGAAGCCTCCACTACGAGTGCAAGTATCTAGTGCAATGGTATTTAGCACCATAGTGCTATAGCACAGCAGCAGCAGCAGCAGCAGCAGCACTACCTACTACTACCCCTGCTTCTGCTGCTGCTGATGGTACTGCTACTACTTTCACTTTTACTTGTAGCACTTGTACGTGTACTACTAATTAGAATGCTTTTACTACTACTGCTGCTGCTATGACGACGACGACTTACTACTACCACTACTACCACCACCACCACTACTACTACTACCACTACTACTACTACTGCTACTACTACTACTACTACTACGACTGCCACTGCCACTGCCACTACCACTACCTTTACTTTTTCCTCGGCTACTACCTCCCGGCCAGCCATTACACACTTTCTCAGATTCGACAGGTTTCAACGCAATGTTAGTACTTGTTGTTCTTATTGTTGTTGTTAATGCTGTTGAAGATGTTCCAGGGATTTTGCAAGGCTGTCATGGTCCATGGTATTTCAGCAAGTGTCACCTACATTCTGACACATGACCCTGCCGTACAAGTCCAATCAAGACGAACCGTTGACCGAGCGCCCAATATGTGTTTGGTTATGCTTGGTTATGTCACGCTATTCGATTAGAAAAAAAGTGACCGGGCTTTTTGGCTTTCCATCGGGTATGTGAACATCCTGCAGGTCTTTGGAACGGTAGACCTTCCGTTTGTGAGGTCCGTGGGTGTGCTGTCAAGCATCCAGCCCTCACAGAGTGAGTCAGTCAGTCAGATTGGGGAAAACAAGCCACATGTTCATATTAGTGAGTGCCCTGCAGGGAACATATTGCTTGACCTTTCACTGCATTGTGAACAGCTTGTGTCATTTGATTCAACCAGGCATGGAAACCTCAGGATCGTTGATGAAAATGAAACGCAGGCAGATGGGGGGTGCTGGATTTCTCCATCAATCATGATCCGAGGTGGGCGAGCTGGATTTCCCCGTCTACCGTCTCATTTCTGCAGCCTTCAACACCACCAAGGCGACCACCGCTCGGCTTCGCTCGGCTCTCTTTTCGGAACATTGAAGCAGGGAACTACCGTGATGTGGGGGCGATGTCGTGATATCTCATGATATCTCCATATTCAAACATGTAGTTCCCTGCTTTGGGATGCTTTTGGGACGGGGTGTGGGGAGTTTGTGATGACCCAAGGCCATTGAGTCGCACCAAAGATGAGCAATTAGCAGTACATAGTGAGTAGCAGCAGTGAAATTCCAATTTCATTTGAAGCCATGCCTGTGCCTTTCTTCCACACGAACATAGTTTCTCGTTCTCATGGCTCTCACTTGGAACTAAACAAAAGACTTCACTGGATTTGTGGACATACCATCTTTTCGGGCCAACCCATAGCTAGCTCCGCGCCTGTCGCGTGCCAGTCGCACGCTGGGAGCGAGGTGGTGCTTCCCATGGGTTCGGCGACGCTGACGCTGCTGGCGCAGCTGCGCGCCACGGCGCGCGCGTGAGGCTGGGGCGGCGGCGAGAAGCTCGGTGGAGAAGTGGGAAGGTGAAGTAGCCGACAGGCACACTGTGGCCGAAAATGCAGGGAAGAGGTCGATATCAAAGGGTGGGGTGGGTTCAACATGTTTCAGAACCACGCAACCTCTTTGTTCAAAGAGGTCTGCGTATATTTGTTCTTGATGTATGATGTATTATGCAAAGTTGTCTTGATACTCTTTGCAAAGTTTACAATTGTTTAAGGACTGAACTTTGCAATCTATGCATGCGGGACCTCATATACAATTATGTAATACACTCAAAGTAGATCCCAGTTGGACATGGTATGATGGGGGCACAACCCCCACACTATTGTGGGGCTCTAAGAGCACATCAAGGCTTCCCGGGAATCGAACTTGCAAAGCAGTGCATTCTTTAAGCAATTCATCGAGCTCGGTCAGTGTGGACGGACCCTTCTTAAAGAAAGCCGGGCCTAGCTTCTACAGGGCATCCACCTCTTGGGCCACAACGGGCTTCTCTTGGGGGTCAACGGGCATCTTCATCTACTCTTGGATATGAGAGATAGGTGCCTTCCGCATAAGCTAATGGCTAATACACCTGGCTCGTCACATGTATGTCAACGCCCATGGGAGAAGCCTGCCGTGCGATGAGAGGCCCGCCTTGAAGTACTCAAAGCCCCCAGTTCAGATGATTTGGATGGTCTATAAAAATCATGTAACTCACAGTCTATAAAAACCATGAGAGTCTATTTGATTCCGTGTAAGAATAGTTTGACCATTTTTGACACCCCTTTCCCACCTGCCTCTCCGCAGCTGTTTTTTGCTTGACCTTTGCTTCGCCCGGTCGTCGCCCGTTTTGGTGGACACGTCTCATGGTGCAACCGGAGTTGGCCAAGTCGAAGTCGTCGTTGGAGCGGATCTTCACCACTGCACCTCGCGGGCGCTATGCAGTGGATGAGAAGCAGATGCAGATGAAGGATGCAGCTGGTCCGGGTTTATGGTCTTTACATGTAGTCGTCATGACATTTTTTGTGGGGTTTCTTATGCACCTTCTGGAATTGCTCAACGCATGGACGTGAATGCCGAACCGTGAGCTAAAGATCAACAATTTGCATAATTTGCAGAGCTTTGTAGCCAAATCAATCCGATGAATTTTTGACTGAGAAAGAGTGTTCAATGATCAATGCTTCAGATGTGCCAAGTCCTGGATAATTATCTGATCTGAAGATTTAAGGGATGGATTCTTTGGAATGTGCGAGTCGGATCTGACTTTACCCTCACCCACGGTTCGAAGGACACATATTAATATGCACTCCCGAAAACTGAGGACGGTGTGATTTTCAGGGTCAATGTTAGTTTTCAGCGGGGTATAGAGATGCATATTGTACATCAAGACAACAAAACCGAGACTATACCACTGATTCTGAGGCTCCATGTTTGGGTGTTTTGCCAGAGGAGGTTATTTCTGGACCAGAGTTGACAAGGTGGACTCTTCATCGAGCAACCGGCAACTGGATGCGAAACGATGCCTTGTGGTTTGTCAGTGATGGGTAGGAGCCGCCGTCAACCGAAGTGTCCAGCTGCAGAAAGTCAACTGGAATGACAACTATAAGTGTCTCTTCACCCAAATCTTCAAAGGCTACAACACGTCCATATCCGGTTCACCGCTTGGTTTGGAAAATCATACCGGCCTTCACATGGTTGCATCCAAAGAGATGAACCGATGAACCGATTCCGCGAAAGACCAGGAACATGTGATCATGCGTTGGAACCTTCTTTTTCTGATCTTTGACTTCCTGATCATTCCACTGCCCCTTTGGATCGATATCTTCAGCCCCATCTTCGCAGCGGCCGCACAGCAGCAACGGTGCCGCTTGGGACGGGCCGCTGCGGTTGTTCGCAGCTTCTTCCCTTGTTTTGTTTCGTCCTCGGGGTGAACAAAACCGCGAAACGTTCCGGAACGGGCTCCTTCCCAACTTTGGAGGGTTTGGAAGATGATACCGGGCAGGACTCTATCCCGGGTCCCGAGTCTGACCTTCACAATGCATTGTTTTTAGACTGTTTGATCCATAAAACCACCCCCACACTTGGGATTGTTCAAACGTCACGACGGGGAGGACCATTCGAGAATGAGATGCAGACAGAGACAGACTCCGACAGATGTAGCACATATATGTAGCACATTCTAGCACTTATTTGTGTTTGACAATAGTATCTATTATGCAAAAGATCCTGAAAAAGCACAGGAGCTCAAAGAGGATCACCCTTTGACCCCGCAGTTCTTAGTTGCACAGAATCAGTTTTCTTTCGAACGTGGATCGATGGAGCATTGCTCGCAGCCATGGAGCACGTGTGTGGCTTGTACACGTAGAACCGTAGCTGGTCACATCCGGTAGATCAAGTGAGATGATCCAGAGGGTGAGACCATCTGTGAACCCCCCCTACCACACTCGGAAGGAAACCTCCCCACCTCGGGAAAACCGCATGCTGCGTCCTGCTTAGCGGAACGAGGCCTATAGCTTGTTCATCAGCTGGTTGGGTGCTTTGCTCCTCAGCCTTTGTGCCTGGAAATCCCTCCAGGCGAACCGACTCATGCTGCAGGCGCCGACCTACGGAAGGGAATTCTTGGGGCAGGTTGTGGGTTGTGGGAGATGCCCGAGATCTGCAAGTCCATCATGGAGGGGGCAGAAGATCCTTTGTCGATTGGACTCGTCGCACGATGGACTCGTGCCCGGGCCGGACTGGAGAGGTGGTGGATCAGACCTGGGAGAATCAGATCCCTCGAGAGACCTTTGAGGAGGACCTGATGTGTTGCGCGCTCGGGTGCGCGCGTTGTGAAGAGTCGACACTTGCGGGAAGTCCCTATGAACTGGAATGAAATGACATGAATTCCCTTAATTATATACTCCGAGTGATCCATACCCCACGAGGCGAATTGAAGAAGGCAGGGCAAGTTGAGGGCACATGTTTTGACAGACTAGCCTAGCTTGAGACAAAGGCGGACATGCGGATTAACACAATGCTTTGACCTCTGACACATCATCTATCATAAAGGCTGGGAAATGTTCTGGACCGTGTTTTGACGTCCTTGTTGGCATGCGCTCTGACATGTTCTGACATAATTTCCTGCCGGGAAGTCTGAGACGTGCTCTGACATATGGTCCGACTTATGGTATGCGCTTTGACATGTATTCCGACATTTGGTATGCCATTCCAGAAGGCGTCTATTTTGCAATCATATCCTGACCATTTCTTTCCGGCCCATATGTTGGTATTCAGCGGTTTTCGGTTCCGGCGGTGCGGGTTCCGCCATTGAGTGAGCTGGTCGCGGAAACCAGGCCCGGCGGTGCCCACTGCGCTCGTTCGCACTTGCGGCTTAAGCTCTGATAAAAGTAAACCTGGGTGAGGAAACATGACAATGAAGAACACCTGCTCGACCACGGCGGGTGCGACTTCTTATTATGTTGTCTCACTTCAGGAGCCAGAAACAGATGGGGAACATGCATGATCGCACGACCGTGTCTGACTTCTGCCAGGAGTATCGAGCTGAGCACCTGCAACATTTGGTGCCCTAGATCATTTCATGACTTTGATGAATTGCTTCGTTGCCTGCAGATGCTGTCTTTGGCTGATCCTTTCGATTCGGAAGACATCCCCAGCTTTAGTGCTCTTTTCGAAGCTGCGAGCTGCGATCGTTGACTCCTCAGGTGATGATGTGTGGCTACAAGGAACCCATGGAGGCCTGGCGCAGAACGACCGAACAGGGCCATAAGCCTCGTGGTTCTGGAACACTTCTGTCACTATCTCCATATCTGGTGCGTAAGGCTGATCAATACAGCATTCTCGGTGTCACTCGCTCGTCCATCCACACATCCGCATTTCCTGTGCCGCGGGGACCTCGCAGGTCCCCCCTTCTCCACACCGGGGGCCTCGTCGCACTGCAGGTGATCCAGCAGTCCATCGACTCCTTGGTGTCTCAGACGGTGGCCCATCGACTCATCGTGGTCATCGGCCTGGAGGAGGGCACCCCCGAGGCGCGACTCCGGGAAACCGGCGGAACAGCAGCGGTTTGGACCGATGAAGCGGGAAAGTGGGAGCGTTCCCGAAAGCGTCGCAAAGGGAAGGGAAAGTGTTTGTTGTCTTTGGGGGGGGTGGAACCGTTGGGTCCAGAGTCGAGGGTTTTGCCATGGCCTTGCCATGATGCAGGGACCCAAATATGTTGTGCGGTATTTTTGTTTAAAGAAGAACCCAATCGTGGGATTTGGGATTGTCACAAAGCAGATGAACTCGTCGAACTGGAGTTGTCTCCAAAGGGAACTTGCTTTTGGAAGTTGCTGAGTAGCTTCAACTTCAACTGGCCATTTTGCAGTGGATGACCTGCTTAGGCAGGACAGCTGTCTTGCAAAGAGGTTCAGTGGGGGTCTACCTTCAAAATGCCTGAATGAATCGTCCAAACTACAGTGGTTGACCAAGGCAAATCCTCGCGGGTCATCGTGGCTCATGAAGCGTAGCTCCCAGACCATCCATGGGACTGGAATAGTACCACATTGATGACCCATATAATGACCCGTAATGAATCATATAGGCAACTGCATACATGGATCGTCAATGATCGTCATGAGTCTTGTTGATCTCACAAATCGACCCGTTCATTTGGAGGTCGCTGAGAAGGCCAGCAACTTGAAGAAGCAGTCTCTGGGCGACAGCACATGACCGCTATGTCACGGCGTTGCCCGTTTTTTGCGTTGGGTTTGGTGTCACTGTCGGTGTCACTTCCCTTGGTTTTGCCATGTTTTGCCGCATTCTATTCCCATTTGGTAGCATTTGTTTAAACGACACTGGGCAGCACCGAAGGGAAAATCCGTTCAAACATGTTAAAACGGGTTTTCACCTCTGAGATCCCCTCAGGAAGATCAGGAAGCGCCAAGACTTCACCCCGCAAGAATTGCAGACCAGACGGCCTGAAGTTTTGATTCTTGATCCATTTCATTCTTTTTCACCGTTGGGAGAAAGAAATACAACACATTCCAGGAGAAACACCTTCCTGGCATTCCAGGTATGCTGGTGCTTTCAAGCGCTTCCACGTGACGAAGCATCCGCCGCGCTGGGCCGGCGATCGGGAGATCCGCGGGAAGTGCTCCAACGCCAACTACACCATGCGCGCCGCAGTAACACGCCTTGAGGCGAAAGCCGGTGCGGTGTCGGGTGCGGTGTAGTGGTGTGTGAAGTGGTGTGTGGCTGGTGGTGGAGGAGTTAAGGGTAGGAATACATAGGACTGTATATCTCCAATCAAGATATTAAAAGATATCGATCGGAAAATTCCAATGGTTCCGAAGATGAAGGAAACCCTGTCCCCAGCAGATGGGAAGAGGTGTTCCACTATTTGGAGTCCTAGTCGTGGGTGCATTCCCTGCAGCACTTCCTCCATTGACAGATTCGCACAAACGTTTTTCCCATCGGACAACCCCTTGGACCATTTGTGACCCTTCACGTTTTGCTAAGTATGCTACTTCCCTGTTTCGCTTCTGACGGCGCCGAGAGCTGGGATCCACAGCTTGCAGAGCATATACAGGCATATAGCAACATATAGCAGCAGCACAATAGATGTACGTAATTGTATATAAGAACTCGAACCCATTTGACCTGATTTTTGCTAGAGAAGGTGATCCTCCCAAATAGTAGGGTCATTCAGGTTCTAGGCAAATATATATATATGTATATATATATATATGTATAATTATATATAGTTATTATATATATATATATATGAGCAATCTCTTTTATTTGCGGTAGTCAAGATTAGTGGAAGGGGCGTTCCTTTTCTCTAGCCCAATGTCAGATTTAGTTAGCGAAACGAGGTAGGAACACCCCGAGAACGAGATGGGCATCAATTGCGCCATTTGTTTGAAATTGTTAATTTAGTCAATGACATGTTTAGCTGGTGAAACGAAGTAGGAACACCTCTCGAGAACGAGATGGGCATCCATTGCACCAAACAGATACAGGAATGGAGAACGAGATTACACCCCAAAAATGATGCGAGATTGGAGAACGAGGTAAGGAAGGCCCATGTGATAACTTAACGGAAATATGTTCCATCGCTCACGCATCACGCATCACGCAAAAAGGAGTACGGCGAGCTCAATCTTGCTTGCACCACTGCAACCTCCTGCGACACCGATTCCATCTTCCCGTCCCTCGCCCTATACACTCCCTAGAACTAACATGGTCACGTGGATGGCCTGGCCCCGAGTTCGGAAGACCATGAAATCAATTCCGTGGTGAATTCCATGGGTGAATTCGGTGAACTCCACGTAACCATGAGTTCCAGGGAGAGAACACCCGGGATGTTGACGGGTCCGGGTGGCACCTGGAGACTCCGCTCGGTCTCCCGGTCTCCCGGTTCGCTGGGTCGATGAAGAGGTTTGATCCCCTAAGGTCCTTTGAAGTGTTCCAAATGAAGCAACACTAGGGTGTCTTACACCTGTAGACCGTCGACCTTAGACCTTTATATAGATATCTACTTTGATAATGATATACACTATTATACACTCTTTGGGGTCTTTTGCCGGGACAATTTGACAATGATTGATGAGTGCTTCGCTTCCCCAAGCCGTTGAGCCGTTTTCCGCTTTTCTGCAAAGCGGTTTGCTAAAACTGCATCTGCGCAGATGGAAGAGCTGATGCGCTTGCACCAATCGACCAGTTTGATTTATCCTAGCTAGGCACCTGTATTGAATTGTCCTTCCTGGTGGGATGTTCAACGTGTCCGTGTGACTTCACGCCACAGTAAGTCCAGGTCGCTTGGTGGTTGCTGCGTGTCCGCCCGGGCTGCGGGTGTCGTATACCTCGCGGGTTTGTAAACAACTACTGAATGGCTTTGTGCCCGAGGCCCCGGTACTTTGAGAATCTGGGCTACCAGTTCCTCACTGATCCAAAGGCCATGGAGGCAGGGGCTCAGGGCGAATCAGGCTGGGGCCCATGGTTGTGTTCATGTCGATTGATGAGCTGCATGATGTTGGTTAAACCGCTTGCCTACTGGGCTAGTGGCAACGCAAATCCCCCAAAGCATTGCATCATATTGCATGGTCCTCTCGGAACCTGTGGATTGCTGCGAACGGGCAAGCTGCGAACGGGCGAGGGGGATTCTCCATTGATTGATTCTCCAGGCCCTGGGGATTCGGCATGGTGGGCTCATCAGGTTGCATGGTGGGCTCATCAGCTTGGTGTTTTCAACAGGTATGGAGGCCCAAATAGGAAGAAGCAGTTTCCAATATAATAGGCTATACACCGGTGAAAACTGACATTTTTGCCAAAAAAAGATATATATTTTTTGGCATATGTTAGTCTAGTTTCCGAGCGGACACCGTTGAGACCAACCTAGACCAAATTCAGATGTGCCATGGTGGGCCCTACGGGTACTTGGCATGGTCCATGTTAGCCTCCACCGCGCTATGTTGACCTCTACCGGCGCGGTCTATGTTAGCCTGCGTTCAGTTTATAGTCAGAGTGCAATTGGTCCATGTTAGTGTCAAAATCGATCATAGACTGAGAGTAGGAACGGTCCATGTTAGCCACCCGCCTGACTCAGGTTTGTGGAAAGTTTGTGTCAGTGTGGACCAGGGACTGAGAGTGGAAGTGGTCTATGTTAGCCGGTTAGCCACATGCCTGACTCAGGTTTGTGGAAAGTTTGTGTCGGTGTGGACCAGGGACTGAGAGTGGAAGTGGTCTATGTTAGCCACATGCCTCACTCGATATCTGGAAAACTTAGTGTCAGGTTGGACCGTGGACTGAGAGTAGCGAGAGTGGGAGTGGTCCATGTTAGCCACAAGCCTGACTCAGGTTAGTCTCAACGGTGTCCGCTCCGAAACTAGACGTAACATATGTCAAAAGAGTAAGTAATGTTAGGGCTTGCTGGCTGCTGATGCTCGAAATCCCAGTATCCTATATGTCCTAGGAATGGGCCGTTTCCAGTGTGCCATATTGGCCTCCACCGTGCTAAAAGAGCTGTCTAGTTTTGCACCTGCAGTACCTCTGTTGAGACTAACGTAGACCATGTTCAGGAGGCCCTTACAGGTATGTGACATGGTCCATGTTAGCCTCCACCGGGCCATGTTGATCTCTACCGGCGCGGTCTATGTTAGCCTGCGTTCAGTTTATAGTCAGAGTGCAGTTGGTCCATGTTAGTGAGGGTCCAGAAATTGCCAAAAAAGGCGCTAATACCGTTTCCCCAGGAAGTCACCGTTTCCAGTGGTCCATGTTAAAGCGCACTTGAAATTGAGTTACGGTCTATGTTGTTTTTCCCCGGAGTAGGTGTTGGGAGGGGCTTAACTTGTTCTATTTTTGGGTCACCCGACTATGGCACCGTCATTCCTTGCGCCGCCACTGGAGGTCGTGTGGCAGGCGCCTTTGTACTACAACCACTACTTGACGCAACGGCCCTGGTTTGTACGTGCGATTGGTATCATGCGAGCGGCCTACATGTTGGGTTTATTGAGCCCTGCCTGGTGCGGTTTTTGCCGAGGTGGATCGGTACTTTCGGAAAAGGGTGGGGTTGTTGTCACACGGATGAGGAAGACTTGGGGTGCATTCTTGGAAGTCTACATCAGGAGCAGGCAGTACTTCCTGGACCAGTGGTGTCCAAATGCGCGTTATGGCCGTCAATTTGTTGCTCATTTGCCCAACCACAAATCAGGCAGGTTTACTAGTGAGTGGTCCAAGAATCCATCATCAACGTGTTTCTGTTCGCAGTGTTCCTGCGTGGCCACCATCCTGGGTTTCACGGCCATTTGCTTGAAGGTTTCGGGCTTGGTTGGCTTGCTGGTCAGATAGCCCCACAGCTGGCCCCCCCTCAAACTACGAACGCCGCATCCTTCCAAAAACACTGCAGAGATCTGCAGGGTGTGTTCCTTTTTCATGCGTCTTCTGTCTAATTTCGCCTTCCTCCTGCTCGTTTGAGCAGTGAGCAGTGAGCACCTGAGGATCCCTTTCAACATCAATACGATGTCCATCTTCAGCTTTTCTTTGGACCTTTGTATCAAAGGCGCCGGGCCAAACGGTCCTAGAAATCGATCCGGTTTTGATTGTGCGGTCTAGAAGGCATGAGAACCTTGTGGAATCCAGGTGCTCAGCTCATTTGGCATGTGTGGCATCCGGCAAGTGGCTGCATTGCGTGAGTTTGTGACGACTTGCCAACCCTGGTCACAGGCGATTTTTTTCATGCGCACTACCAGATGGATGACATCATTTATACTTTGTTGCCTGTCTGATTGCAGTCTTTCCTTGGTGGGTCAAGCATTTGCACGCCCGAGGATGCAGGGAAAAGCACCCCATCCTGCGGAGGCTTTCTACATGAGATTGATCCACAGTTCAAGTGTCCTTCTTTGAATTGACCTGCAGTTTGCAGTCTCAAACGTAGACTCCAAGCGCCCCAAACGACCACGACCATGCGATCAAGACAGCGTGTTTGTGGACCAACACAGTGAGACACATCCATGCTTTGAACAGAAACGGAATTGCTTCTCCAACCCTCAACGGTTGCATCCCCGTCAAATCAGTGGAACGAAGCGTGTCTCTGACGTCCCTATCCACTGAGGACGTGCATGCAGGCCTTGCAGAAGCGGATTGAGATTCTTGGCGATAAGCTTTGTAAATCATATTAAATCATGATGCTCGTGGCGCAAGAAAAACGGGCATGGCCGGAAAGGAAGGAAGAATTTGGAATGAGACGGAGCATGAGGAACCTTCATATATACTGTGTATATATATATTATGTGTGTATATATATGACTGCAACAATGACTCCGATGTGTGTTTGCGTGTGCTTTTTGGTACAATGCCATCATTCATGTTCTACCGAAGTTCTACCCATTTGGGTGTCACTGCTTACGGGGGGCATCCATTTGTGGAAGCTTTGTGAAGCAGCTTCATCGGTTTACCTGTCAGATCCCAAACAAATAGTTACAGCATCCAGCAAAGCAGCTGTTTTTGCTTTTGCATCTTTGGGCACCTGACTGATAATGCATGCAAGTACAAGGGTACAAGATGGTACAAGCTTCACGGTGGTGTGTGTGTGTGTGTGCATCATTCGCGGGAGACTGAAACCTGCGATGTGCCCCCCTGGAAGACTTACATGATTACATGGACCCTGAAAACCGGTTGGCAAAAGAGCACCATCTTCCAGTCTCATGCTCGTTTTCGGGAGCGTTGTCGTTGTTCCTTTCGTCCCCGCCATTTGTCGCCCAGGATCCGAATGATCCCGATGCCAGTCATCTCGGGACCCACCAGTGGCAGCACCTACTGTGAAGAGATCCAAGAGTTCGTCCGGCAATCCGAGCGTTGGACCATCGGCGCCTGTGAGGCGCGCCGGTTGGCAACGAGGACGCGTTGTGGAATGGACGGTGATGGGAAGAGGTGGGCATGACCTGAAGAACCGTCGATGTCGATGATCACCAGTAAATCACTGGTCGCTATTTTCGAGCTGTCGGCTTGAAACCTACTGGTAACCATCGTTATCATGCACTGGGCCCAGGGGAATAGGATATAACATGATATAACTCAACACATGCCCTATCCCCTACCCTCTCGAAACATCACATCGGACCGTCGGTCCGAAAGATTTGCTCCCAGAAACTTTTATCAAGCAATGACTTCCAAAGGGTCCAGTATGGTCCAGTCCATGTGGTTCTTTGCATGGGAACAGTCAGGGCTTTGATGACTGGGTTGCCATGATGTACCTTGTAGTTCTTGGTTTGGTCACTTGACGCCTGACCTGATTGTTTGATTTATGTTTGATTCATACCCCCGGAGCCGCCAACCAAAATGAAAGTGGACAAAAGGGGTTCAACATGGTCCAACCAAATGTTTGCAAAGGACAGGACCATATCCTCATCATGGAAGCTTCGGTGAGCAAGCTGTCTTTTCAGGAAATGGAGCGGCGTGCCGACAAAGACCGTTCTGACTCCAACAGCAACATGCAAACAGTTGATATACTTTGAACTTTGGGTTGATGCTTGCCTTTCGCTAAAGACATTATTCGAAGAAGATGCAAACACAACTTGGAGTGTTTGGCCTTTGATGCCCCAGTCCAAATTTAAACGCTTGCAAGCAGAGAGAGCCATTTCAGGCACATGTGTCACTCTTAAATGAAACAACATTGTAGCGGCGTGACACCACCCGAGCACCAAGTGAGCTGGTACTGCATGTGACTTATCTCTTCAACTGCGGACCGGTCGCCTGAGAAAACCTGACGACCAGCGACACTCGTCACTGGAGGTCTTCCACTACTTCGTGGTGAAACGCCGGCGCTACAACTGCTCAGCGGCCTTGTCCTATGGCACGGACCTCGGCGCTCGAAGAACCGCCCGAGCTGGGCAGGGTTGTGTGTCCTGAAAAAGGCTGCATCTGGCGGGGAGACCCGCTGGAGAACACGCCAAAACAATGCATTTGAGTTGTGTCAATGGAAATGGTTCAATGTTCAAGATGAACTTGTTTTGTGCATTCTCTCCGACAGCCCCACACAAAGTGCGCTTCGCCTTAACCAATGCCATGAGGCATTTGGTTTGTGACCTACTATGGCTTCATTTTGTGCTCCCTGACCCTATCTGGGTTGGCGGCCTTCCTCAACTACGCCATCGTGGATGCCAAGCAGGGTCTTTTCCAACAGTTCCCTGGATGTATCAACTCGGTTTGCTGAGGGTCAGTGTTGTATTTGTTGTGCAGTTCCCATGCTTCATGTTCCCCACACTCAAACGCAGCGAGTTCTTGTTTGTTTTCCTATTTGTTATCATTTGCCTCACAGCTTAAGCCCTCAGACTCAGTCTCTTCGCCAATCGGCTAGTCTTCATCATGACTTCATCCGGTATACTGTACCACAAGCTTTAACAATTTTTCATTGCTGGCGTAACCAGCGCAACCAGCGTAATCAGCGTAATCAGCGTAACCAGCGTAATCAGCGTAACCAGCGTAACCAGCGTAACCGGCGTAATCAGCGTAAGCAGCGTAACCAGCGTAATCAGTGCAGCTAGCTACCGCCAGCGTACCAGCGTACCAGCGTGCAATCACTCGCGGACACGCTTTGCCACGTCGCTCCAATTTTTCCTAGCATCCTCCTTCCGGGCAAAGGGAAGCCTTATGGTGCTTTCAAGTTTTACCTGGGAATCCTGGGATGATTGACAAGTTGACAAGTCCATCACTGATCATTCTTTGTTTTTGCCTTTCCAGCTGCCTTTGCCTTTCCGCTGGGGAAAAAGAACAAGGTCACCCTTGGATGAGAAGTCCCGGAGGCTGGTGGTGGCTGTGGGTTTGGCCAGCCTCGCATGGACCTATTTGATTTTTCTGTGCCTTGGTGCAACAGACTCGACGGGTCGGACGGAGGGAGAGAGAGAGAGAGAGAAAGAGAGAGAAAGAGAAAAAACAAAACGCAGATCTGCAGACCATTTCTTCATGGAATGGTCTCTAATGATTCAATCAATAAACTATGCATATATGTTTATAATCTATGTATATACAGTAGTTGAGAATGGTTCAGAATGATGATGATATGACACTCTGACAATGAGGTCCCTTTTCCTGGTAGAGGGGCACAGGCAGTATTATATAATCTGTTTTATCAGTAGCCAACTGTGCAGCTGAGTTGTTGTGAGTTTACTCTTTGAAGGAGTGGGGAGCAATCGAATCCCTACCGGGTATGTAAAGAGCATTTGATTTGGTCCGGACGGGCAAGTGCTGAAACGAAGAGATCCAGAAATCAATCAAAAATTAGGTATTATATATAGATGATTGCAGCAGTTAAGGTATGATTCCATAAGTGATTCCATACATAGAACCCAGTGCCTTTGATTTTTCGGTTCTGTTTGCCTGGAAGCTCTTTTTGCCACGCAACGAAGCATGTTCCGAGGATCTTTTTCTATTTGGATCGAGCGGCTTGCAAGCTCATTTACCACTTGAAGATGAAGCCACAAGGCTACACCCAACTCAGCGCACAGAAGGAGTCGCTCTTTCTGTCGATGAGTTCATGCAGATGGCATCCTGTAGGCAGTGGGCACTAGGTCACCAGGCATTCAAAGAGTGTTTTAAAAGATGACTGGCTGGTGGTTTCACGGGGGGGTCTATTTTCAACATTTACCTATATATATATATACCTGGAAGAATGATCGTGCCCAATGACCAATATTCTTCAGATGGTGTCAGTTGATAGTTGATCTCCTTAAAGTGTCCAGTTGCGTTTTGAAAAGTGTTTAGTGGGCACGTCACGTTTTGCGGCAACTGGGCTTTCAAGAGCTACCTTGCCGATAGTACATGTGAATGTACAAAGTTTGAATACATCGGTGTGGGGGCCAGTATGATATCATTTCTGTGCTTTTCCTCGTGCGCATTTACATCCCAGTGGGAAGTTGAGAAGCTTCCAATCAAAGACGGGGGATACATCATGATAGTAGGTGCACCCCTTTCAACACCAGCAGCTCCCACGTCATCCATTCACTATTATTGTTTGATCCCCTGCAAGCAGCCCACAAATCAACAGATCTCCTTCCCTCCATTTCAGAGTGGCCCGGACCACTGCATGCAGGCAGTGAGGACGCCAGCCTGGGCCAGAATCTCAAGGACTGGGTCTTGATGTGGCCGAGTTTGGTGATGTATTCTTGCGTGGCTTGGAGGGAGGACGGTGACACCCAGACCCCCACACACGCAGAGACAGAAAGTTGGGTGGAAAACGGTTTGGTGTTTGCTGTATCCAACTGAGGTGAAACAGCATGTTTCCAACCACTTTTGGCAATTTCAATGGTTATGAAATAGCACTGGGTCATAGTGGGTCAGTGGGTCTAGACTCCGACTCACTAACATGGCAGTGGAGAACACCCTTTTGCAAAGGATTTTTCGAGGGGCCATCTTCCAGTTGCATGTTTGTTCACAGGTTTTTTAACATGGGTTCTTCAGTGCGTTCCACGATTCAGTCACTTCAGCTGGAGAGTTCGTAGGCCAACTATCCAATAGTCGAAGGTCGCTCTAGCTTGTCAGTGTGGTGGATGGACCTCGGGGTTGGAGAGCCATAGGCAGTTGGTTTGGTCGAATTTGATGGTCACCAACCTTGCACCCCACCAGCATGCGAGGTGAAAGTTCCCAATACACAGTGGCACTGTTGGGGGTCGAGCCGCAGATCCCATCAGATCTATTCAGATCCCACCAATCAGGCTGCGAAAACATGTGAAAAATGAATCGGTGGAGTGCTCCGTTCTGTCCTTGGTTCAAAGTCGTAGGAGGGTGAGTATGCCACAAAAAGCAACATGTCAAGGAAAGAAGTGCCGGACCCCTCGAACGACCAGAATCCTGCTCTAGCCGTGAGAGTGGCATTTCCCATCAACAAGAAGAAATACATAGAGACCCACCAGGTATACTTTTTGACATGTTGGCGATAAGATACTATGCTTATAGTTTGTGATTTCCAATTGATATCAAATGATCAATTTGGATGTGTCCCATTATTGCCTGTAACTGTCGGTAAACAAGAACTTCACCATTTCAGAGAAAGGCCTTTACTATATCATCCACTGGGCCCAGGAAATGGGATATAGATCTAATCGAACGGGAAAGATTGAACGCCTGGACCGCCCGGACCGCCTCCCAGGTCGTTTGAGGCTACAATGCATCATGATCACCGGTGTTCGGGTGCCGATGTTTTCGGGTGCCGATCACCGGTTTGTACGGATTGAATTCGAGTAAGGAACTCATCCACCTCGAATCTGTGGAACCATCACCTCGAATCCGTTCGAGGTGAGCGCTTGGGCGATTCTGAAGGTGGCCATCTATGGTAAGAAGGCCAGGTGTGAAGCGAGTTTGAAGACCTGTGAGATGGTCATGGTTGGAGAATCCCCTTGGCTGCCGGATTTTGATTTGGAAGCCCACATTTTGCCGCAAAAAAAAATCCAAGAATGCGCGTGGCTGGTGGTTTTCCTGTAGGAGCTGTGCACAAGTGATATCCTCCGTAAGTTTGCACTGCTGAATGGCGAGCCAGGGACCTTCTATATATTGGTTCTCATTTCGGGACACTGGCCGCAATCCTTGATCATCTTTGGTACATATACATCCTAGATCGATACTCAGTAAAGAATTGTAAACATTGTCAATCCTAAGTGTCGATGCTTTTCCATCCTCATCCCCTCCATCCCCATCGGTCCCACCTGTGCCGTGACTCCGAAGGTTTGTGGCCATGATCCTTCCAGCAAGGAAGCCTTGAGACCGAGAGTGGTCGAGGATTCTGAGGACTGCTGTGGGTTCCCCAAGCTTCCCTTGGAAAACAAGACTCAACAAGACTCAACGGTTCCGTCTTGCCTCCTTGGTCTCCGGCCTGCAGTTGGGCAACTTGCAGTTGGGCGACTCCGGGACGAGTCCTGCCCAAGAGAGAGAGAGAGAGAGAGATAGACTCAAGACATCTCAAGACTCAACACGATTAACTTAAGGATCTTAAGGTTCCCATGGTGTTTAGAGCTTGGCTCACTTTTGGGAGCAACGGAGTTGCACTGTGGGTGACGCATGGACCGCGCCGTCGCCACGCACGTTTTTTAGCGTCCGCGTCCGTCGCCTTCGGCGTTGGACCGTGCGTTGGCTGCTGCGGGATAGCCCGGGAAGGTCCTGTGAGAGCTACGTGACCGAAGAGACCCACATTGACCAGACTGGAAGACTAGAAAACTCCATGAAACTCCTCTATAACTGCATAGGGTTTTCAGGTGTCCATGTGTTTTAAAGGGCGAACTCCATTCTTGATGCGCTTGGACAACTGCGTTAGACATTAACAATCCTTAACAGGTGTTTGATCTACGATGATGCAGGGCGTTGACGAGAAACTTTGCGGGGTCTTTTGTTGTGCAGTGAATCGGTTACAGATGAAGGATGCGTCAGCTTGGCGGTATGCTGCATAGGTGGGGGTTCCGGTTGAAGCCTTTGAAACGAATGGGCGGTCAAGAAGGAGCGAAGCTTCGGCCAAATTCCAGATCGAACTTGAGAGACTGATGGATTGGCAAAGGAAATGTCTCACCCTGTGGTCTCTACGGCTCTACGTGTCTCAGATTCCAGAAAACGCTTCTCCGCGCGCCCCGGAGGATGAGTCGACCTCGGTGGGACAGGAAGACGACCTGTCTGAAAATGGCCAGCCTTGAAGGTGGTTTAGGGTTTAGGGGTTTGGCGGGTCCAACTGCCTTCTGAAAAGGTACTTTGGAGCGCTAGCAAGAATGTTTTGGCTCAGGGTGTGTGTTGACCATTGTTGACCCCACCCAGTTGAGCGTGCTGAGGCTTTGCCTGATGTGGCTCGAACCGAGCGATTTGCAAGGTGTTCCAGTGTTCCATGATGTTCAATGAACATGCAATTAGGAGCCAACAGGAGCATACATGAGCCAACATCTTGGCAGGTCTTTTAGCACTTGGAATTCGAGCATGGCACTGAGTCCTGTGAAAAAAGTGAGTAAGGCCCGACTTCTGTACCAAGAAGGCGTAGTGTCCAAGCTTCTTGGATGTTATTTGCAGGACAAGGTGCGTTTTATCACTTTTGCTTCCTCTAAGTGAGGAAGTGACCCTTGAGGTCGCCAGCTAGTTCTCAAGTGTCTTTGTCTTGAAGCTAGCCGGCAATTGAGTATAGGTTCGTCTCCCCTTGCCTCATTTCAGTCAAACAGATCCTGGATCCAATTGAGCTTTATTGGCATGGCAGCATGGTCTTGAGGGCGCAAACATGGCCAACCCACAAAATGACGTACAAGAAATATACAGACGACCAAGAAGCAAAGCACAGAAAGACGGTCGGGGCACAGACGATTTGTATAGTCAATTTTGACCTATTTTGTGCCACTGCGCAGTGGCAGCCCATGGGTCCATATGGACTCCTTGTACAGCTGCCGAGCTTCGTGGGTCACTCAGTCTATGTTGGCGGGACCGTGAAGCTCGACCAAATTCGACGCGAGACTGCAGGATGTTCGATTGGTGGTTGGTTGGCGAAGTTGCACCGGCAAAAAGCTGCTGGGAGTCCGTCTTGTTGGCAAGATTTGGCATGAACTCAAAGATCCTCAAGATTCCTCAAAGCTTTGTCAGGGGCTGTCAGTGGATTGAGGGTTGAGAACTGGCTCAATGCCATTACGACATTACGACGGCTTGTCAGAAAATTCTACTAGTTACCGTAGTATGGTGCTTTGGGTTGCATGCACGCTTCGCCGCCAAAACCTTGCGAGAAAAGTTAGTGACATGGTCCCAACAAGTTCCAGTTTCGAAGCACCTAGCAACAAATTGTGACTGTTTAAGCGTTCTTCCTTGGAATTCCCATGCATTTTCTCTCGCTTGCTTCGTCGGCCACACCAGCTCAGGCCGCCGTGGCACGGCTGGAGTTGGTGCTGCCCACCGGGGGCCGGCTGGCAAGTGGATGCTGCGAGCACGAGGAGGAAAAAGGAAACGACAGATGTGGGTGTGCATTGAAATAGGGAAATCCTCCACTCGATCTCCTTGAAGAGCTATTCAAAACCACGCTCATTTCCATCCATTTTCCCGTTAAAATATACAGTATTGGTAAAGGGGGCTCCCTATCTTGGAAGCGGCTGCCGGCCCCTCAACGAGCTCTTTCTCTCACGCTGTTCAACTCGACCCCGGCCCAGTCGCGTTGAAACACCGTGAAACACTTGCCTTTCGCCGCAGTCAAAGGCACTTTCGACCGAGGGGAGACTCGTTGGGCGCAGAAAAGCATGGGAGGAGCCTTCTTCAACAAACTCAAAGGTGTTGGACGTGGGATGGACCCGTCATGATCCATGGGGCTCACCCGGCGGCTGGGTACTGGGTAGTGACGAGAAGTGTGCGCGCGCCAAAAAGAAAGGCCCGGGTTGATCGATCAGAAACGCACCCTCGCCAGGCTGCATTTTTGGGACATGTCAAGAAGGACATGGGCGGTGAAATACAAGACATCAGCCGGCAATAGCCTAACCCACCATCAGAAAGCAAACACCCAGAAGAAGGGGCCATGACACTTAAAACTGTGATATCTGATAAGCAGTGTGTTTTTCGCGTTCTGGCCAACACCCTCGTGAATCCTAGCAAGCCATGGTGCTGTTGATGCTGTGTGGCGTGGGGCTGCTAGGTGTGGCTGTAGGGGTGCCCTGGTACTATGGCCTGCTGAGCAAGACGATCCTCATAGAGACTGGACCCAAATGAGTGTGGTGCAAGGAACCCAATAGCAGAAGGAGCCTACTAGCAATGGCCTCCAACCTACTAGCAAGGGGAAAATGTCCAGGAAATAAGAGATCCAATGCAGAGGATTGGCTACTAGTAGCAAGTGCATCGCTACTAGTAGCGTCCTTGCTACTAGTAGCGATGCACTTGCTACTAGTAGAGGCTTCTTCTTTGGCAACCACAGTAAGAGCCACACGATCGTTGAATCTCAGGTCTTTGTGGCTTTGTAGGCGAAAAGGCGTAGGACCAATGTGTGACAGTATGTGGTGATGACGGGGAATATCTATGAATATCTGAATATTTCATAGTCCCGATGCTCACGTTAAAAAAGTTGGTGCAAAAATGGCACACACAGTGGAAATGTCCTCATATAGCGCAGACAGATGCACGATCATGATATTTCTTCATGGGTTCTTTTGCGTTGGTTACTCGGGGTGTTCCTGATTTTTCCCAGCGTCATGGGACATAATGTCCCCCCAGAAGAGCAGAAGTACTGTAATGTGTTTTTTGCTTCAGAGCCTGCCCATTCTTATTCAACCGGTTCAATGCTGTTTTCCCTTTGTCGCTGGTCCTTTAGCCTAAATGCCTTAATTGAAACAGCAGATATGTCATGAGATTGTGTACCTTTAAGACTCCAGGTGTGCCTAAAAGTGTTTATTCTGCAGAGGCGCAGAATGCTGGGCATGTGCAGCCGGCCATGCATTCCACAACTTGGGACCCTCAGTGCCACAGAGTTAGCTCCGTTTGGAGCGGGAACGGTCAGAGAGACCGCGCCGGTCCCACAACGGTCAGGAAAAGATGATGGAGCCAGCGGTCTTTATGTTCACCAAGCATGTGGGGCCCTATGCCAATGCCGCTGGGTAGACCGCACAGGTAGACCGCTGTGGGTTGCGCACATGGACGATTTCGGAGTTTTCATCCATAGGGTTAATCGGATGTAATACTGACAATTTAGTCTATGTCTAGACAGCTCTTGGACTATGAGAACACAACAAGCCATCGTGAACTCTTTATCATCAGGCTATTCGGCTGTTTGGAATTCGGTAGACGTGCTCCCCAATAAACTCGGAGAAGATGCAAAGCTCCTGGGATGACCTTGAAGATCCTCGAAGACTCCTCAAGTGGTGGGTAGGGACTCAGATGTGCGTTTGGCATGGCAGACGCACAAAACCTCGGATGCCCCAAAAGTCGTGGTCCGCAGTGTAGTTTTGGTGCTTGGTACTCTGGTTCTCGAACGGCCAGGCGTCCAAGTGAATTGGTTTGATTGAAACATTTGTCGGAACATGTGTCGGAACAAACAGAAAAACACGCGCAGGCTTGCAGTTGGATGAGTTTGCTGTCCTTTTTTATTGGTGCTGCAACTGTATATACTATTTGACAAGAGCTCAATATCACCAGCAAGATCCAGCAAGGAGAGGATCTATTTAATTACTCATGGAGGGAAATGTTTGTTGTGCTGGGATATTATTGTTGAGTTTGTCGGTGTGTACGGACAACACCAGCTTGTCACCAGCTCATATCCTGTAACTGTAGCAGAAAGGGAACATGAACATACATGAAGCTTTCCGTCCGTGGTTTGGAAACATATCAATGCCACAATCCTTCCAGCTCAACAACAGACGCCAGCGATGGTCAGATGATGCCCCCGTACTCTCAGCCCAGGTTATATAAGCATTGTTTATCAGAAATGGCATCTCCTGGAGTGCAGAACTGAATTGGTTAACCAGAACTGGAGAACAATCCTTTTCAACATCCTCACTGATTCAGCTTGGCCAAAACTTCCATGAGGGCTGGACTTGAAGCTCCCGCAAGTCGGTTTGAATCGGCAGGGTTCCTGAGATCCTAGGTCGGACAGGTCTTCGACAAGCTCTCCCCTGTCATGCCTCCAAAAGCGAAGATGGCCATGATGTCCCTGGAACCTCGGCGACGGAGGTCAGCAGGTGAAGGTCCAGGTTTGGACAGGAAGAGACACGAATCCGAGTGAAAAAGGTGGGAGAGAGAGCTTGACAAAGATGGTGTCCTGAAGACCGCGGCCCGGAGCACTAAGGAAAATCGCGCAAAGCTTTGGTATGAACATGGATGATAATAGCTAGGCAGTTTGAGTGTTTTGAAAGCCTAGCGGCCTAGCCTAGGTAGACGAACCCCGACTAAAAAGGTGTTTGTGTTGGTCACGTTGTGGGTTTGTTTTGTGACACAGAGATGGTCCAGAGACGGTCTTAATGTGTATGTGATGTGTCAAGTGTGGTTGATACAATAACAACATGCCAGTGATCATGGCAGAAGGAGTATACCTAGCCAGCTGAATGGATACATAATATATAGATTCGATCTATCCCTATACAGCCCCAGGTGGGGCGCAGGGAACATGCAAGGGACCCGGTGTCACCCGTTCCGCAGGGCGAATGGGCTGTCGACATGCCAACGAGCTTCAGACGTTTACGCGAGTGGTGACAGCGTTGATAGGAGATGCCTACGTTGTATCCGTTTACGCGAGGGTCAGACACATCGGTTAGAAGTCGGTTGAAGGACGTCTCCAACGGGATCAACATGCATCCACTGTGTTGCACCGAAGAGGCCAAGATGAAAAAGCATTTGACACATTTTGATGTTTTGGAAGTCCATTTATGTCTCATGGCCTTAAGGACAACCCGCAGGTGGTGGAATCCTCAAAATTGCGCGCTCTTCTGGGCTTTTGGATGCCAGCGACTCCAGAGGCTGAGAAGCTCTTGAAGGACTGAGACGCACCTGACCAGCTGGATGGCCACTGAAGTGGTGGAAAGGCGACAGGCCACGTTGACAGCACCCTGGAGCATGGAGAAGAGTATGAGTCCCCCAGCATGGACCCATTAACCACAAAAGAAGTTCTCTACACTCTACCAGCCATGACACAAAAGCATGCAAAGACAGCCTGCCAGATGAAGGTCTCAGTCTCGGGCGTCCTCGCGTCCTCAACTCCAAGTGCAGGCTTAGCCGCCGATGTGCAGACTCTTCGCTTTGGCGGTGTTCGACTCGCGAGGAGATCTCCAGCGCCACAGGGCTCCCAATGTCCAAGAGGGAGATGAAAGCCGGACGCGCGACCCGGCTCGTGAGCGCACGGTTTGTGATCAAAAACTGGCCATGTCCTGAATTAGGGCGCTTGTTTCACAGGGTCTGACGGAAGAATTCAGCTAACTGTGAAGTGGTCGATGCGAGTCTCGTATTTACGACCATGGCATCCCAGTCGACCGACACATGGACGCCCATGTGGCGAGGCGAGCCCTCGCCGCGAGCCACTCTCGTCGAACGGATCCAGAAGGACCATGGACCTGGTCTTCAATGGTCAGTGTAATGGTTGACCTAATTACTCTCCCTGGAATTCACATGAGGGTCGTCCGTTATTGCCGTCCGTTATAGAGCTTTGTTGGACAACCCCCACATGGTGGAAGTGGAGTTCACCAGCTTTTTTTCCGTGGATGGAACATGGTCTTCCGAACTCGGGGGGCAATCCACGTAACCATGTGAGTTCCAGGAAGTGTATAGGGTTCAGTCTAATGGTCAACTGATGAAGGTCACAACCTTTGACCTGGACTTTTGGAAGTTGTGCCTTTTCCATGTAACTGCTTCTCATGATGGAATTTGGAGCGTTCAGCAATGCTTCCCCGCTGTTAGGCTGTTACAAAATGTGTGTTTTTGTTGGTTGGAGTTGAATTCAAATTCGACGAATGTTTCCCAACCATCGTTTTAAAATCCTAAACATATATCATATAAGCATCCTCAATGGTGACTGGGAGGTCCTAAACGCTTTCGGAGGTCGGCCCAGGAGCTCTTCCAGCTCCTCCATCGTTGCCACGCGACTCACGCGACCGAGATTCTCCCAGGTCAAGGTCACCGCCTTTCCCCTGCGGGGCCCCATGAGCTTCATGCTGGGCCCCATGAAGATCTATCCAACGGCGTTTGCTTCCTTCGACCCTTCGGCTCCGTGCTGCGGCAGTATGGAAATCTATCACCATGAGGGTGACAACAAGATTGAGCACCTTAGCTGAGGCGACCGAGATGTTAAACAGCATGTTCCATCAGTTCCATCCCCCCCGAAACCCTAAACCCAGGGCCGAGACGGTATGCTGGGGTCAAAACAATGGGCGAGGCGCCAGGTTCCGATCTTGGAGCTGGGGGGCACCCGCTCCCCATCGTGTGGAGCTGCATAAGATCGAAGGGTGGAGCATTTGGATGATCCCAGCATTTGGACATAGGATGCACCACGTAAACATACGTAAACCCCAAAGGAAGGGAGATTCTGCAGGGTTAGACGTAGACTGGACATTTTTGGACGTTGATGCAGCGGTACACATGTGGTGCGGTGCTGCAGTGCTGCATCATGAATTTCAAGAGGGGTTCTCTTTGGACATCTTTGGACGGCCGGAAGTCTGTCTTTTGCAGATTTTGACATATCATTCAATCTGTAAGAAACTCCCAGACAAGACCCATGGGACTGCCATAGGACTGCCGATCAATTGGGGTGGTGCCAGAGGGGTCAATTGATCGGCATATATGGCAGTCCCACGGAGTGTTTGGGATTTGTCAACACTTTGCCACATCAACGGGTCCTTGACGCCTTCGACTAAGTACACGCCTTCGACGATTCTAGGACGTGACTGAACCCGAACCCCAAGTCGACAGGGTAAACGACCATGGCCTTTAGATTGTGCCATTTCATTTGAACCCCAAGCTTGTTGCTGTCGCGCTGCTTCATGTTCCGGTTTTGCACTGCAAATCTGTGAAGAGCAAGGACGGACGCCTTCTCAAACCATGGACCTGCCCTCTTTGGAAGCGGCGGAACAGCGGTTCTGTCGCGATCCGACTCCACAGACCAGAGCTGTCGCACCCTTTGGTTCTCCAAGCAGCAAGAGCTCAGAATAGCCAGCAGAGTTCTTGTGAAGCCCCCAGTGTCGAGGGTGACCATGCAACCCCCGAAACACGAACACGTGTAGCAGCGTAGCACTTAGCACCAGGATTTGTTGATGCCTGTGAGGGCCCAAATATGCCAAGATTAGATTATGGATTCAGTGACACTTAGGAATCAAGTGAAGTCCCATGCTTCCGAAGAGCGCTGTTTTTGGTCATTTTGCCATCCGCTCCCCGTGCATCATCACAGGTACATATTTTCAATGGAGAACCCGGAGGATTATGCCTGGCCTGCGGATTGATTGTAGCAGAACAGACCGTTTTGCTTTGCAAAGGCCTAGACTGAGGGGTCTTTGATTGATTACTACGTAGATCGTGGCAGAGAACCCGGGTGTCTCCACAAGCAGGACTGTTGATTTTTACAGATCAGTTGAATCGGACTCGGGTCGCCCTCGCGATGGGACCTGGGTGTCCTTTTGCGGATGGTGTGTTAGTTCTTTAACGAACGCAATCGCACAGACACAGCAACCGGCAATGGCATTAGAAGGAACGATAGCAACAACGACTGCAACTCCAGCAACTTTCGCTACGGTGTCTCCTGTTGCTTCTGCACTCATAAGGCTACTGCGACTTGCTACCACCATAATTGTTCGCCATCCCTACGAAAGGCCTCAGACTGCCACCCGCCTGAAACAGGATTGACTACCAGGACGTCACCCTTGGACGCATCCACCCTGCGTCAAGGTAGAAAAAAAAGGCTTGGACAAATAGTCAAGATAGTAGCAGGATGTGTCAAGAATAGTCAAAAAGAGTGAATGAATTTGGAGACACCCACGGCGCTCTCGATGACTTAGGACGTTTTAGGACTCAACAGCGTCTCACTGGCCGATCCGACCTCCTATCCGACCTCGTTGGTGAAACGCGGCCGTCTTGGTTTTGGTGGTTTTGGTGGTCGGCGAAGACCACGCTTCGTGGGAGTTGCTTCGGAGTCCCACGACGCTTCGGGACGTTAGGTCGACGGTCCACATGATTGACCGATCCACGGAATCCAGCTTTTTGGCTTCGTGCAGACAGGTTTTTGAGCTGCAAAGCATGTGTTCAAGGGCTTTAGGTCTTCGGTTGAATCTGTTGCTCAATATTGACTGACAGTAGCTTTGCTGGACATGAGACAGATCAGGACATGTTGAGAAGCTTGATAGAAGCCGATTCTGAGATCACTCTGGCGATATGAATGATCGGCTTGTATCACAGTGGAGCCATCTCTAGCTTCCATGAGTTGCTTCAGAATCCCTGCAATCTTCGTTCGAAGTAAGCAGAGTATGTCTTCGCTTCGCTCCTCCTAGGTCGCCAGGGTGCCTACAGAGGTGGACAGTGACCTGAACTAGGACCCGTCACCAGGGGTACCCAACTAGGATAGTCGAACGTTCGGGTTCTGACCCACCTTTGCTGGTGAGGTCGCAGTCGCGAGTCGTGCTCCGCAGCATCCTGGCTTCCGGTGGTATCTCCAGCATCTCGCAGGCTACACGCAACGCGCTCCGCCCATGGCGCCCAGTTGCTTTAGCGGTTGTGCGAAGCAATACCAAGGCCAGGAGGGAGTGGGGTGTCAACTCCCAAGGCAGGCCCATGGAGGCGAATCCGGCTTTGGATTGCCGATGGTGCCGAGTTTGTTGAGGAGCTTCCCTTTCCCATGCCTCAAAGGACAACTCCCATTGCGGGCCATACAGAGGAAAATCGTGGACAATCTGACTTGAAGGAAAAATCATCACCTGCTGCCCGCCAGATGAAACTTGGCTACACCCATCCAACAGCCACAACAACCTAACCTCCCCCAACTCCGACTTTTTGCGCACTTCCTCCAGGACTGAAGGGATTTCTAAAGCCACTGACCCATGGAGCAGATGCCTGGAAGGCCGGGAATCCCTGACCACTGACGCCCGCGCGCGAGATGAGAGGGCGTGGAGAGGGCTAAGGTCGTCGCGATCCCCCTCACCAAGAAAGGGAACCATGATGAACCATGTGCGATGACATTGCTGAAAAGGGCGGGAACTCACTCTTCGATTGGTGTGTGATCACATGATACCAGGTACCCGAAGTCTTGAGCTTGTGAATCTCATGTTTTCCAGATGGTTTTGACAGATCCTTCAAGCAGGGATGTTCAAGAAAGGGACATTCTTCCCGGCAAATCGACTCCGCAAAGATGTTTGGGATTTCCGTGCGTATGCTGGAGACGACGTGCATTCAGCATCATGCAGCAACGTCATGAAAAGGTCCAACAGTAGACGGACAAAACATTCAACCATCTTCAACCACCTGACACGTTGGTTGAATATGTTGTTGGTTGAATATTCAACCACTTGGCTTTTCCTGAACCATCCTCAACCACCAGTAAATATTCAACTTGTCAAGAACAGTTCCAATTTACTGGGCAAAGCCTCACTGGGGAAAGGCTGTGCTGACAGAATCTGAAAGCATTGGTAGGCATTGAACAAGTTGGGTGAAGCATGCTGGAGCCAAGGTGACCGGCTCCAAATGGTGGATGCCTTCCTCAATTTTGCTCAATCGAATGCCTCCGCTCATGTCTTTGAGGGAAGATTTTCTGGTACAAGACATGTGCGAATTATGGGCGGTTGGGGACTTCACTGGCCCTTAGTCAGTCCAGTGACCCGAGTCACATCTGATGCTGGTTACCTCGAATATGAAGTAGTGCTTGCACGACTTGTTGAATTCATGTGCTGTAGGAGAGTTTAGCCTTCTTCTTCTCTTTGAAGGCTGAACTCTCCTACAGCCCATCACACGTAGACACCACATGATACCACCACCCAGGCGCCAAGGTGGTCCCGCACTCGGGGTCACACCGTGGTCCCAGGTGCATGAGATCGAAGCGGCGGCGGTCACCGCGGAGGAGCAGAGTTTGGTGACTTGGGCGAACAGGTCGTCCTGCTCGGGAAGCAGACCTGGAAGGGGCCTGGTAGGTCAAGATCTCAGGCAGACTCGATGCTTTAAGCCTGGAGGGGGGCCCCAATTGAACATGTGGCCGCGATATGCGGCTGAGAGAACTAGACCGGAGCGCTGTTCAGCTGTTCACATCTCTTGAGCAATTTATGTCGGTGAGCCTCCATGCTTCTTGTCAACAAGCGTGATCATGGACAGTGGACCTCTTCTTTTGGAGACAAAACTGGACCATCGCCAATCAATGGGGTTCTTCATAAGTGGATGTCGAACGGAATGGCCCTCGCGGTGAACGCCACCCGGCACCCCCTGGAGCGTCACTGGACACCCTAAGGCTTCCGAGCCTCATTTGCCGGTGCTACTGGGCGCTCGCGCGCCGATCAGTGTGGAGGCCACGGTTGTCTGGGTGATTTGGGGAAGTATTGACCAAACTGCCAGAAATGACCCCATTGGTAGTAGTACAACATAGATCAACTATAGTCGTACAACTAGCAGTCGTACAACTATTTAATATAATGTTGAGGTATCATGCACCAATGCGGTGCCATGATGCCATAGTTATGATGTCAGATCACTCACTATATCACTGTATCATGTGTCTCATCTCGCTGCGCTCGGCCCCTTGGGCGACCGGGGCCTGACCGGCAGGAGCCCAAGGGCGTGGAGGCGGCGAGAACGGAGCTCGGAGCAGGCGCGAACTGAGCCTGCCCCGGGAACGGAGCTCCAGAGCACCCGAGCTCATCCCCCCCTGACTGCAGGGGTGGGGTAATGGCACTTGGGGGATTGAACCCGAGACTGCTGGATGAGGTTGATGGAACGCTTTGACCAGGCAAATTGCGCAACTTTTGGGAGACATCGATGTGTTTCTTCGAGCTTGAGCATGCTGCCCAAGTCGAGTGACGGGACGAATCCCAGTGGGCCAGTGGACCTGAAGCCTGGACGAGCTGAAAACGAGGGCGAGAGGCTGGCTCGAGGGCGCGAGAGGCATCGAGAGGCAGTGGATGCGCTCCGAGATGTGGCTCGACCAAAGAGGTCTGATGATGTTTGGGCGGACCCATCCTTTTGAAGGTCAACCCAAGCAAAATTGGTGCCTGCTTCCATGGGTGGGGTCTTGGTTTGTAGACACTTCGAAGGGGCGGCTGGTTTGACCTCGGATTCCATCGGCGCCGCCATAGGGGCCGATCGACCAGCAGCTCTCTCAGCCTTGACGACAGCAGCTGAGCTGATGAGGGGCAGGCAGCGGGAAGAGCGACGTAGCGGATGTGACCGGATGTGAGGATCCAAGGTCTAGCCCTGCCACCCCCAGGTCTGCTGTGAGACAGCTAGACTAGAGAGAGAGAGAACCCTCAAGATCCTCCCAGTGGAGCAGATGTTCAGTTGTTTCGATTCGCTGCCGCAGTGCATGTTTGATAAGCATTTCTCCACAGACTACTACGAAAGGCCTTAATGGGATCGACCCAAACTATATGGCTTTGGGTGGTTTGGATTCAATTCGACTGTTCCAGTCACTGATCCTGCTTGGTTCCAGGGGAGGCCTTTGCATACAACGAACAATATATCCCTAGCTGGACCATCCTGTTTGTGCTTGCTGCTTGGGAAATCCAGACGGGACCGGTAAAACAGGATGGTCCTGGCATATCCAGGCACACTCCCTGAAAGAATAATCATTTGTTTGGGTGGAGGTGGAGTGAGTGAAAACCACCTGATTGGTCTTCAGAAGTTTCACATGCTCATCCTTATCCTCCGAAGTCGGGCCACGCTGGCTGCCACTTCACGATGATTTCATATGATGTCGGAAATCGTCACTGACCCTTGTCCTTCCCTACACCATCTTCAACTGACCGGCATCGTTGGAAAACGGAGAACCTTTGGGCATCCGAAACCGGGACATTCCTGGGACGCTCCAAGGCCGCAGAGGAACTGGCGGCCTCACCCGCTTGCAGCACGCCGGTGCGCTGGAACCATGGCTGCTGCGAGGTGCAGGCCGAAAGTGCAACCACACAAAATAGATACAATATGATACAATAGAAATCCAAATGATTTAAAAGAATCTTTCATATGGTAAGGCCGGAATATTGATTTCATTAAAGTCAAGAAAAGTAAAAAAAAAATGCATTGACAATGCAAACAAAAACTGAAAATAAAAAGTAAAAAAGTCAAACATAGACCACAGCTCGAAATAATCAAAAAGAAAAGTCAAACAAAAACCGTCAAAATAACAATGATAATAAACTTGAAAACATGTTTTAAACAATGCATAAAAACAAGTCAACCACTCGAAAAAGTCAAAAGAAAGAGTCGAAAAAAATGCAAACAAGTAAACAGAAACAAAAACAATAAAAAAAAAAGCCGGATCTGTGCAAATTGACAATTTTTTGACTTTCTGAAACTTTCTGATTTGACTTTGACTTTTGGTATTAACTTTTTTTGACTGCTGTTGACATGTTTTAATTTTGAAAACAGGCTGTCTCCAATGATAGCTGTTTTTAAACACTAGACGGAAGTCCACTCAATAGATGCAAGTACACTCAAATAAATCCAGTTCACCCCCTTGATGAAATCCAAGTGTCGTTGGTGGTGGTTCCTCTCCGCAAACCTGTGCGAGACATGACACATGTTGGGCGGTCCGGGACCCTCTCGGGCGGTTCAAGGCACGTGTTTTTGTTCGGGTTCTGAGGCGTGGGATAGCGAGCTGGCCTCTGCGAAGCTGGGAGAGGCGCGGGGATTCAGCGCAGCCGGGTTTCTGGAGGATACAGCGCAGCCCCGAAAAGCTTGGCATTCCGATGTCCAGTGCATCATATTGCATCTAAATATCAAGAATCGTTGATCAGTTGGCTGTGGCTTCAACTTGATGCCTTGGCTGAGAGGCTGCAGAAGCGGCTTGGCATGGAGGAGTGCAGGTGGCCACTTTCATGACCCGAATCTCGGCACGGTGGTGGCACCAGTTTGGATCAGGGAGTGTATGTTTCTACTATTTTTCATTATTTTTCACTCAACCCACATCCCAGAGCTGATCCCTGGCAAAATGGCAGGGTTTCGGAGGTGGGTTTCTTAAAGTTGGCTTGGTATCCTTTGGGTTTCAGCCGGCCTGTTGGGGGCTTGACATGGCAGGGGTGGATTGGTGTGAAAATCCACGAAAAGACATGCATATCAGCAAGAGTATCAGCTAATGTTCCAGCCTCAGAGTTCTTCTGGGCCTATTTCCAAGCGTTGAACTCCAGGCAAGGTTTCAACTCAACCCACACCCGCCCCAAGAGATTCACCCAAACTCTGCAATGTTCGCACCTTCCAAACATCCCAACGTATTGCTCCTCCGTGAGGAGAGTTCAGGAGACATCTATGCTCCAAAAGGTGTACATTCAAAAAGCCGTAGAGTTCCCTGGAACGTCCTCATGGTCATGTGGAGTGAACTCCACCCGTGTACATTTGGGGATTTCACGGTGATCCTGGCTGGACCTTCCCAGGACCATCCTGGACTTTGGAAGCCCACTACATCCCACATCCCTGTGCAGGATCGACACCCAGACAGGATGGTCCAGGTGTAGGTTTGGTTGCAGATTCTCAGGACATTTCCAGGACGCCGCGGACTTCGCGACGCCACACGTGGTCTCCTGGGCCAACCACGCGTTGGAGACCTGGAAGACGCCCGGAAGAAGGGATTCACGTGGAGTTGGGCGAAACCTTTTGAAAGGTTCTTTGAGTATACTGCGGTACCTTTTCCTTTGTGTACGCCGAGAGAATGAGTCTGCGGCCGCTGCGCCACAATTATGGAGTAATTAAATATACAAGCGGTTAGTGACCTCTCGCAGCAAAAGTCGGGACCTCTCGCAGCTGCCTCATCGAACTGCGCTGGAACCAACTTGGCACAATTGGGCCATCCACGCAGGTTGCGAGGCATTTTCCACAAATCATCAAGAGGAACGCAACATGCTGGTGGATACTCCTTGAAGATAGACGTCTTCCAGTACGTCTTCCACTGCCCGCCTTCATCAAGACTGATCACAGCGTTCTTTGGCAATGCACACGACGTTTCAGTAAAATCTGTTCCGCCTCAGCCGTGGTATGCACTAGGAGCAGGTTAGTAGGCTTCACTGAAATGCTGTCGTAGTGCCCTTGTCAAACGGTAGTTACTTGTGCAGCAGCACTCTAACCTCAGAAACAGCTTTGTGATCGGGAGACGCCACAATGAGGGGTGGAGGTAGTCTGACCCAATTTCTGCAGGATACTCAACACCGGCAGCCAGGCCCCGCAGCGCACAGCTACAGCGAGAAGTTTCATCGTGATGCCCAGCAACCTGCTACCAAACGAGGTTTGTCGACTGTCGACCTTCTTTAAAGGTGAGGTCAAGTCTTCCTTCAGGTCGAGGTCAAGTCTTCCTTCAGGTCGGGCACGAGTCTGTACGGGTCTGGGGCACTTGATGCCAGCAACCTGCCGCTGGCGTGCTCTTGACCACGTCTCGCATGGTGGGCCTGCGGACCCGATCAGTGTATCCTCGTCCTTCGGTCCCCAAAGGTGATGCGGAAAATGACATCGATTGAACGCATGATCGCTCCATTGTCTTTGTAATACCCAGACACGACCGGACTGCCCATAGATGCCGATCAATTGACCATGATTGACCCCTCAGAAACCACCCCAACTGATTGGCAGTCACAGGCCTCCATGTCCCGCAGAAGATCCGGGAAAGTCGGCGGGGGAGCTACGCTGGTAGCTAAGTACTTGCAATCTCTCAAGCAGGTTGGAAGGTGGACTGTTCCAGTCTTGGCCCCATTTCTGCACCAAATTCTCAAATTCAGCATCAAAGTGGGGATCACGTTGGACTGGTCCAGTGACGGGTGGACAACAGTCGGTGCCAACCAACCGTCCGGGCGAAATCACCGAGGACCACAGCCTCGCGGCCGGCCTTGAAGCCGACGGGCTCAACTTGGGAGGCACGGAGGGGAAGAGGCAATGCCACCCCCCCCGGGCTCCATAGCACTAGTGTGGCACAGAGAAGGCAATGTATTGTAGCATGCGGTAAAAAACATGAATATGCATAATGTGGACTCTTGATTCATACACCCCGCATATGAAGAGGATGTTCAATTCAATTGGCTGGGAAGGGAGGGTGTGGGCGCGCCCGTTCAGACGGTCCGCAAGTTCGTGCATTCAAATGGCTGGGGTTATTAATCAAGAGTCTACATTATGTGCGTGTTGATGTGTATGTATTTTTGTGTTCTTCTGATATTTTCGGGATGGGAAGACTTTTGAATCAAAAGCGAATTTGGAGGTGAATCTTGGGTGAATCCCTCAGCAGCACGGCTGGAAGAACTGTCGTCCTGGTTGGTGCGATCTTGATCCTTGTGCTGGAATTTCAGATTGATGGGTTGACTGATTCAGCGCAATTTGATGCAATTTGGAGGACCCACTGCACAGTCAGTGATTGGCTACGGTTGCATCCCCTGCCTCCCGCACCAGAGAACCATAAAGAACGTCACAGTATTCTTAATCCCTGACCTGCCTGACCCTCCAGGCTAACAGCCGCCAGCAGTCCGCCATGCAGCTGCGTGCCGCTGCCCCGCCACCGCTGAACATCTCGGACTACGATGTGGTCGACACGTCTTCGGGTGCCCAAGTGTCGAGCAACATCCCAGTTATCCTCCATCCACTGTGCTCTAAGAAGGTGGACACGCTTTGGAGAAGTTTTGGAGCAGCAGGGTAGGCAACCTATACCACAGGTAGACTCTTGATTCATCATGTCCCCCTCAGAGGAAGAGGTTCTTCAATCCAATTGGGCTGGGTTTATGACCCGGTCATCGCCCGGTGGAGCCGATCGGTGCAGGCGCCCCAACGCCCTTCAGGCCGACGGGTTGGAAGTGAGTTGCAGATCCTAAAGGAAGGAAGGTGCTAGCAATTCGAAAATCTTTAATGGATGTGCATACATATTATGTAAATATGTCTATGCCAGAATATACAATACTAATATATCTTATATTTTTTGTACATATTGCTACAGTGGTTTTATCATTGTTTTCTCACTGAACTGGCTGCACAACAAGCACACTTCTTAGACCCAGAGGGATACCCATGGAGGTCGAGGTCCAGTCGGTCGGCCGTAGTCGGAGATGGTCCACAGGGTCCGACGTCGGCTGTTCGTCATGCGGAATGAATGCTCATGGATTTCACAGCTTAAATGTTTGCAGCTGCAAGACATGTGAAGACCCCTGCAAGTTTAAGGTGTCCTTCCAACAGCTTTAAGATTGTTTCTTTTTACTTTTTTCGAACCCCTGCAGGCAGAGCGCAGGCAAGCTGCCTCCAGACGCACCCCCTTCTTGCTCCGATGGTGTTGGTGGAACAACAACTAGCCCCAACAGAAGCCAAGCCACGAAGATGTTTTTTCTTACTTTGGGTCGAAGATGGTCGAAAGATATCTAAAAGTTTGCAAGACGGATTCTTATTCCATTGGCCAAATGGCCAGGACATGCTTTCGGTGTGATGTCTTCACATTGTTTCATGCTCTTCGGCCATACCCAGCACCGATTCGAATCGCATGGATCATGAGTTGGGAGTCAAGCACTTTTGGGGCCCAGTCCACTAATCCCAGGGCTACATGTTCCAGCGGACCCCAACATGGATTTCTGAACCTCGCCAGGACGAGCTCTCCAGCAGAGTTCGAGAGGAGAGTCACCGGGGGATTTTGCAGTCTTTGACCCTGTTAGGCGTTGTGCTCGGGGCGTAGTGATGATTCACATCCACCCAAGCCCAACAAGCATGTCAGGTGAATTCAGCTCGGGGGGTTGCAGATCGTGGATGGCCAAGTGCTGCGTTTTCTTTTGTCTCTCAAAGGATTTTTGTGCCCCCCTTGCATGGATGGATTGTAGTTATGATATGTTATGATCACATGGAGATCATTATATATGTGACGTTATTACATGAAGCAACCACCCTTGAAAAGGCTGCCAATACCACATAATTGTATTGCAAAACCATTCAACACCAACATCATCCAATATCACACCTACTGTCGAATGAGAAACATGACAAGTGTGGGAGAAGGCTTTCCCTTTGTAAACCTTGGACTTACCTTCTAGCTCCGCTTTGTTGTTTTTTCTCTCCACTCCCTGGCCTCGCCTTGTAGATCACACTCTCGCGGCTCCGCCAGGATGCGGTTCAATGCAGGCTCTCGGCCAGCGGCCGGTCCACCCGCGGGCAGCTACGATGTCGCTCGCGACGCGCAGCTGCGGTATGCGCTGGATGCGTCCCGGTTTCAGGAGGCCAGATGCGACGTGAAGAGTGGTTGGCAAACCCTGATCACTTAGTTCAAAAACCGCAATGATTCACGAGTGGCAGTGGGAAACTCTTAATTGGTAGAATATTAAAGGCCTATTAGGCATTCTGGCATTCAGTATTTCATGAGATATAGTTAGAGGTCATCCGCGCTCTTCCAAACGCTTTCGCGAGGCACCCTCCTTCATCACCGTGGTGCCGCATGCTCAGTCCTTCACAGTGCCACCCTCCCCGGCCTTGAGCACTGCGAGCGCTGTGCCACCACTGCCCGGCCGGGAAGGACGGCACTCCTTCTCAGGGGTGAGCGCGAGGCACTCCTTTGCAGTGCTCCAGCCGCCACAACTGCCGTTCGACACAGGCATGGACGAAGGAGACATCCGACAGGGAGCGGTTTGAGTCATCTTCAGAGTGGCATCAATTCATGGCCGGTCGGCTTACCCGGTCAGACGACCCTTTCTGGAGGAAAGCGAGCGAAGGTGAGGAAGGTAATCAAATCAGACCTAATTATGTGATTTGTAGGCATCGTATCTGACAGTGTCGACTCAAAAGGCTTAGGCCTAGTCTTTCTTTGTCAGTATAGGTGAGATTTGGTCCGGTTTGGCGAGTTCCAAGCTATTCTCAGGCCATGTATGTTGTCCGTGTTTCCTGCGGCAGGCGCGGCAAGTGCCTGGGCGAGCAGTGCAAACGCAGCAAGCGCAGCGCCCGTTGAGGACGGTTTGAGGGATTTCCTACGTTGAGGACGTGTTTTTCTATTTTTTTATATCAATGATTGTATGGTAAAGGCCCGACAGTAGGCTGTAAGTGACAAGTGATGGACGATTTTTGGCAATATCCCTATCACCCACCAGTTGTTGTTGTGAAGTAATTTTTGCATCAGACGTGCACCATCCTATGTATAACTTTACAAATCTTGGACCAAGACTGTATTTCTAGAATCTAGACTAAATTTGGCGGACGATGTCATTTTCGTTGGGATCTTTTGTTTAGATTATATCAGCCAATAACAACCATCTCAATAATTTCATCAAATTAGAACGGCTTTGCCAACCTGTCCAGCAGGTTCTTTGGTGAAGTGTAGTGGCCAACATGATGGATGCGCACCTACATAGACAGAGGTCGAAAAACACAATGATTCCATGCCCAGAAAGAGGTTGAATCAAGCCCAGATTTACTATATATATATATATAGTTGTCATACAACTGTAACTTGTTCCAAAAAATAGTTGAGCTGAACCCCCCGCTCTAGTAACTGGAAGGTTTCTTGGGAATCGTTTTACTGGGAATCGTTTCACCTGTAGTTTAACAAAAAATTTTTAGGTCTTTTGAAGCTTCTTAGCAATAAGAAGCTACTATAGGTTGAAGGCCATCGCTACTAGTAACAAGAAGCCTTTTTAGGTCTTAGTAAGTTGACCTGCAGTCGCCGAGCCACCGATCACACCCTCGAGGCCACCGTCCTTCGCACCAGCCTGGGCGAGCGGCGGCCCTTTGACGCGTCCCATCCGCGGCCGCTGGTGCGGGCGACGTAGGCGACGGATCGGTGGAAGGTCTTTTCGTCCTTCGACTGAGGTAGCAGAGAGCTTCGTCCTAGCAGCTATATGTTCGAATTACTATGAATTAATGATCTACTCAGAGAATAGTAGCACTCAGTGGAATTGTGAGCTTCCCACACTCCGGAAACACTTGGGCTGAGGTGCTGTTCGAACTGTTCGGAACCAGTCGACCCAGAAAGTTTCGAGAGCTCAATGATTTATGGATCTCAGTTACCACGATATAAGGGTCTTGATGATTATAAGGTCTATATAAGGACTATATATATAAGTTGGACTATGCCAATAACATCCCAACTTATATAAGGGATTATCCCAGTGGATCCCACTTTGCCACTATAAGGAAGCAGGGTTTCGTTCGGTCTATGGCTTTAGTCTCCACTGGTTACCAGCGACATCGTGGCAACTGGATCTCCTGGGTATGCTATCGATGCAGTGCATCGATCTCGGGGGTGAGAGGTGCCGTGTCTCCTGTTTGAATAGATCGATTTGGAAAGCGAGTGGATCAAGGGACAGAACGATGTCAAGGCGCCCGAGAGACCCCCCCGAACCAAACTCTCAATTCTCAAGACTTATTGTGACGTGTACGCTTATGGCAAAAACAATTCCAGATATAAATGTATATAAGTATATACAAGTATAAATACCGCTATTCTTGCCCAAACCCCGTTCGTGGGTTCGTCCGACTCCAAGTCTTTGTGTCCGGCTAGGAGCTCTCCATCGGCTAGGCCCAGAACTTGTACAGTTGATTGGAGCAATCGATTTGATGCAGGAATTCGCTTGTGGGATCTCCCTATTCTCCGCGGGGGAGGCTTGCGGAGAAGCACCGTTTTTTGCGTCCAATTCTTTGTTCAATCAATGAACCTTTCAGCACTGTAGAGGATCTCAGGGACCTCAGGGACCTTTGGTTCATAGACCGAGTGCAACGTTCGGAGCCTGAGCTTCACATGCTGGTGTGAATGGGACCCCGAGACCTGAGACCGGAGAAGAACCGATGAGCGGCGCGTCCTTGGTGCTCTGTCGACTTGGCAGTGTCATACTGTATTATTATATATATGGAGTCCATGGAATTGGCATGGATCTACCGATCTAACCGTGGAACTGGGCATTTTCCGGATTCTTGGACCAATCATTCGCATGGAGCCTCCTCTTCTGGGGGTGAAGATCCGACTCTCGTCCTATGGTCCATCAAGGCATGGCAGCTTGCAGCATGACGTGTCCGGCACGGGCGCAGTGCCAAATTGATCACAGCTTTCAACAAAAAATCAGGTAGGATCCACAAGTCAACAAACTGGGTGATCTACAATGATCTATGTAGGTCAAAGCCAGATGCTCACAGATGTTTGCCTGGACATTTCATTGGGTACTTTGCTTGAAGGGGAAAGGTATTGCATGTCAAAACGGGTCAGGCTCCTGATTTGTTCTGAGCACAGCCAGGCGCTCTCACTTCCACAGCCAGCTTGGACCTGTGAACTTTTTTGCAGGACGATTGTGTGGCAGCCCCGTCCGGATGCAGGAGATGTACAGAGGCTTTTACTTTTTCCTGGGAGACTGGACCCCGAGGAACTAAGGGGAACATCAACCTCCAGGCATTTCCGTGCATTTGAAAAACCTTCTTTCGGCTCAGGTGTTTCTCTTGGGTGTTTCAATAATGTTCTTGACTTGTCTTTTTACACTTCTTCGTGTTGATGTTCTTTTGGCAACCCTCCTCCTCCAACTGTGGATCCTTTCTGTTACAGATGTGGATCCGTAGATTCACCTCAACCGGCTGATAGGGTATCTTGGAGCATGGTATTGTCACCTGAGCGGGGAGCCGATTTATAGCGCAGGTTCCATTGATGTGGAGTTCTAAAGGTTTCCCGGCCAATCTGCTTCCACAGTCAGCTCTGGCAGCCCGGCAGCCCGTCAAAGCATGGCAGCTTAGAACACGTGCCCCGTCGCAGGACCCGACACGTCGCCGGCACGTGCAGCGTCGTCCGAAAAAGGCAGAGAGAGAGAGAGAGAGATCGATCCCCTCGTCGACGCAGTAGGAGCAAGGATGCAACGAACGGAGCAAAGGGCATCGCTACGAACGGAGCAAGGACGCTACTAGGGTTCCTGGCCGTACTACTAGGAGCATTCTTACTAGTAACAAGAAGCTTCCTTGGGATTCGTTGGCTGCGGATCATGTTGGAACGGGATGGCGGACGGAAACACCCCCGTTCGATCGTCATGCGCAGTGATTTGGGCGCTGACTCTTGGCACGCCACCCAGGCCGCCCACCCAGGCGGTGATGTAGGGGACGACTCGATGGAAGACTCGGTGTGGCCACCTGTTCTGTTCTGTTGCAGCGAGTCGCTCCAGAACAGGGAAAAAACAAGTAATACAACATACACCAGGATGAAATCAATGAACCACAAGCCCCACAAAGCAAGAGCACCAGCAAGAGCAAGCCCTGACGGGTGGCCTTCACGGAATCCCCTGACCGCTCCCTTCCCGAGAAGTTGCTTCCACCGGTCACCAGGTCACCACCTGTATCTGGCACCCTGGCGAAGTGTCACAAGAAATTGATACAATTTGATAGATAATGGGATGGTGGCCAATAGACAGGCAGCGTTCTCCATTTTTCCATCATACCAGTATATAGATGATTAAAGATGTACTATCTAGTACAAGAAGATCCAGAAGGCTAGTACGAAAGTAGCATTTCCTCGGTGACCATCGAGTATGTTGATGTGTTTTCCGAGCCAGGCAGAAGCTCAAGGCTCCTTACGGCGGCGTCGGCCATAAGATGTGGCGTCGGCAGCAAATCGGAGCAGCGAAAAAGGACACACTGCGGGTCTAGTGCTCATAGGTGCTGGTTTTGTGCTGTTGGATTTCGCTACTCCAGCCGTGGTTTGATATGAAGAGTGTTATTTAGTTAGAGATATGTGTTTCTACGTATTTATATTACTTCTTCACGTTAAATCTATACTTCTATGTTTTCATTTATTTATACATATTATTTATACTACACTTAGATTGATTTCAAGTTCCAGAGATTCTTCTTGACCTTGGAAGCGGGTGCGACCTGGTTTTGGCTCACCTCCCCAGGTCTGGATGAAAGGGGACGGCTGAAAGAGCGAACGTGAGTCGACTCATGTGACATGAAGTGATTTGCTGATTTCGTGCTCGCAGCTTGGCTTTCAGACCATGGCACTGGCGGTGGGTCGCCCAACGGGATGCCTGCAGGAGACGGAATGGACGACTGACTCTGACCGAGGACCGCCGTGTGGCGAAGCAAAAGCGTTTGGGCACCGTATGGTTTGGCATTTTTGGGGAACTAGTAGCAAGGACGCTACTAGTAGCTCCTGGCATTTATACTAGTAACAAGAAGCTACTAGGAACAAAGGGAGCAAGGACGCTACTATTAGCCCCTCAAGGAACGTTGGCGTGGCTCAGAGTGTCCCTACTAGGGAGGAGACACACCGGCGTGTCACCCTCCCAGGGCATATACTTGCAATTGCTTGGTTGCCTTTTGTCGGTACCAGGACCGGAATCTTTGCATAAACTACAAATGGTCACTGTGGTTTACAAGCAAGAACTACGTTGCAGAAGGTTTGATGACTTCTAGTGGATTTTCAACTGTTTTGTAGTTGGATTCATGTTCTAATGGTAGTAACAAACTACCTTGGAACTGAGATGAAAAGGGCCAACGGCTGGTGAATCTCCGATGTGTATTCCACTTGGTGTTGCCCAAGTGGAATGGTCTGTAGGCCAAACTAATACCAAGTAGGTAGTAAGTTGTTGCAACTTAACTTGGACGGCTCAGGGGAGACCATGGACTTCTTTCTGCGCTCAGGGGAGACCATGGACCTTTCGGGATAGCTGGTTTAGCTGCTGAGCATGCACAGGTGCACACAACCTCTGGCACCTGTCTTTCACAAGCAAAACGGACTGCCGGCTGAGAACCTTTATCCATTTGAGCCTTTTGACAACTGTCAATTCTTTTGGTGCAAGAAGTGTTGAGACTCGACCCTCCCAGAGTTCCCAAAACTCTGGGATACACGGACAGTCAATCCTATTAAAGTGTCCATGCAGGTAAATGTTGTAGATCATGCGTGACGAACATGTTTCCCTACCACGGCACAGTCCAGCACAGTCCGGGGGTGTAACGCGTAGAGGGCTAGGCCCCCAGCAGACAATTACCCACCATATCCCACCATGGTGTGACATACTTGCTTTCCGGCACAAATGTGTGCCAAGAGTCGAAGATAAGAGTGGTTTTGCATAAGCAAAAAAGCAATTCCACAATCAAAAAGAGGCAACCAAGAAAAGAAACTTGCTTGACAGAGGGAAGCTGAGGCTTTGTGGCGAAACATCTATATATAAGTACACATATCGATCTATACATATAACATTCACATAACGTTTTGAAGGAGTGATAAAATCGAAGGGGACTGGGATGGCTCCAACGACTTTACCATCCTTTATCCCACCTACACCCCCTTGGCTCAGGAGTCCAGGATCCCAGGCACGGCCGGAAAAGCGGGTTTCAACGCGACATCGACGTGGACGGTCGGGGGGTCGTCCGAAAGGGCCGAGTGGAGGGAACTCCGTGCGTCGTGAAACGTCTTGAACGTGCGAAGAATGCTTGGAGTTAGGATGGAGTTGGAGATGTTGAAGAACGGGTGTCGGACAGATGGCAGGAAGTTGATGTTCCGGAGTCACCAAGAGAGAGAGGGAGAGAGAATTTGTATGTAGACCTGGCACAGATGCTAGGAGAAAAGGTTTTTCAATCCAGTTCAGTTGGACTGGTTGACCATTGATATACAAAAAGAACAATGTGCAGGCCTTTCCAGGTGAAGGGATCGGTTGATTGGTTGTTCAGTGGCCAGACCGTTGTTTCAAAGGTGAAGTGATCGGTGAAGCCCATTGGAAAGAAGTCTTAAAAGTTCTGGGGCTGCTGCATGCGGATGTCCGACACACACCAACAATGTCACTATGTTCAACTTGGATTTGTTCCAAGCGCCGGATGAGTCCGGCGCCGGATGAGGAAGATCAGAGGACATTGTCAAGACTCCCGGATCTTCTGGAGGACCCTCTCGCTTCTCTCCCATGAAGGTGAGAAGCTGCACAACAAATCACAACAATTACGCTTCAATACAGCACAGCAACCTCCCCCAGAAGAGAGCTTGCGAGAGGGAAAGAGAGCCCAAGGCGTTTGGTTCCGTTCCACCTCGTGCGCTCGGCCATGCTTGGCCTCGTGTGCTCGTGTGGGAGGCCATCCACCTGCTTTGCGTGACCGCGAAGCTCGCCGCGAAGCTCGCCAGCTGTGGGACGAACCTCGCGCACAGCGAGGTGCCAACACAGCACTGAAGCCGCAGCGAAAGAAAAGACCCTCCCCAACAGGAGTCTGGCTATAGCATGTCAAGTCTGAGTCCATGTCACATCATTATCCCATAAGTTGAACATTGCAACATCCTGTCTTGTCGGGTTCTGTGTCAACTTGACCCCCAAAAATCGCACGACACCGATCGACACCTGTTAACCACGTGCTCGGTCTAAGACCGGTTCATCGGTGGATTCGAACCGTCGCCGACAATCCGACGAACCGCGCAGAACCGACCATTCGAGCAATCCATGGCATCAACCATTTGTACATGGCATCCATGTCCCGTTTGTGGTTGCAGACGTCGTTTGTGTTGCAGATGTAACACAGTTTATGATCAGCAATATGTCCATTCAACCTGTATGTTTTCCATGAAGGTAGCTTGGATGACTTTGGAGGACCCAGACCAGATGACAATTATAAACATTATACAAATAATTATGCCATCCTATGTGCATCATGCATTGATATGCTTTTTCTTATGTATTATATCGGTGATTTGTGGAAGGGACACGTTCACAGCTTGGGAACTAGTCCTCCCACAATCCAGAGTTTAAGCATGGCTCAGCAGGGGTCCCCAACACGTCTTCAGGTCTCCTGGCATGTAGCGGCCTTGCCTTGGCAGCCGCAGGGGCCGCCGCACGCCGCGCACGCGGCGTGAATCGCCGCCGGTGTGTGGTGGGGCGCCGGGCCAATGCTGCAGTGGAGGATGGTTTACCACGAAGAGCTGCCATAGGCGCTGTAGGGAATGTGTGTGTGTTGACTTCTTCCAATAGCACCCATTCATTCATTATCACATTGGATATGTTCCAGCTTTCGGCAGCTTTCACCCAGCCTGGAAGAAACATAGGACCCCCGTGTGAATTTGCCGTTGTTGATGATTGCAAGATGGCTCGGCCCGATGTTGATATGTTGGGATTTGAGGCCAGATGTGCGGCTCTTTTCCCAGGGTTTTGGCTGAGTCCGGCGCCTGGCCTGGCGAATTCAATGATCTTTAATCTAGATCCTCTCAAGAGAGAGATCCAGGCCCTTGGGACACTGTGAACCAGGCCCAAGGGACCTGGGCCTCCCTCTCCCCAACCGCCCTATCGCGGTACCGCCCCAACCGCAGGTGTGGCGGGTCTGGCGTTCACCGTGCTCGGCTTGAAGCGCTTCGCCATCGATGGGCCTCCGGAGTTCGATCCGCAGCCCAGCTCGCTGCAAGGGAAGACGGTGGTGATCACCGGAGGGAACACAGGCGGAGAGGAACCGCCGTCGCGAGTTCCGTTCGGAGTTCGGTGTGGGCGGGTTGGGGCCAGGCGGCCAGGAGTTCGTTCGGGATGTTCGGTAGGTCTGGGTTTGGGGTGAAATCGTTTTGCAGGATTTTGCAGGTTGGCTAGCGGCTAGCGGCTATAGCGGCTAGGGGGAATGGACTAGTTTAGTATAGTGATGTATAGTCTATGTATACATATATATATATATGTATATGTATGGTGTTCTTCTTGCCAAGTCTTGCGATTGCTGTATTGTGATTTTGATGTATGTGTGTACTTCATTTTGCTTCCACTTGAGCTCATCGTTTGCCAGTATCTGAGGGATTTTTTTGGGGCCGCTGTAATGAGCACTTGTTTGATACTCTCTCTTACTGAAGCCTTTGTTCCCATCATGTAGGCCACTCTTTCCCCTCACTTCTTTTGGATAGCTTCATCATGGTGGCCTTCATTTGTTCAAGGGTCTTGAGTGTTGTGAGCAATCGCTTTTCTGGCTATGGGCAATGCCCTGAGCTAGATTTTACGGTGAGATGCAAGCAGAGGATCAAGAGCACCGGGATTTGTATCTCAGAGGATGCTCATGCTCACTTGAACGGATTTGAGACGCTTTGTCCTTTTGTCCTGATCAGTACTTTCCTTATTCAAATATGAGTGTTCCATCACTACCCCCTAGCGTGCCTGAAACCCCAATAAGGTCAAATTGGTAACGTAAAATTTGCGACTTTCTGAAGATAGCATTATATAGCCCTATGGGGGGGGGTTGGAAATTGTTAGATCTAAGGTTCAGATACCCTATGTGAGGATGTTGTTTTTTTTGACCCCCCCATCACAGATGGGAAATTGTACATGCACGGGCTCAACAAACACACCTGAGGCTCAAACATGTAGCTGTAACTTACAACGTTGACCTTTGTCTTGTCAGATGGAGGTATCTTATATATTAAAAAATCACCGTTTTCCACAACCTGCATGTTGACCCACCTTTGACATTTTTGAGCCCCTCCGGAGGGTAAGGAAGATTCCATGCAACAAATCCCACTTGATTACTGTTTAGAGTCCACAGAAGACTTGAGCAGACTTCTATAGTGAATTGATTTAGGACATGAACACACACTTAGTCACAGGTCCATCCAATGTCATAATCCACAGGGAAAGGAACGAGGGAACAGCAAGGTGAAGGGGTCAGCGTACTTGAAATGTTGAACAAAGTTCAGAAGCTAGTTACTGAATACTTAGCACTCTAGTTACTGATTACTTAGCGGTTCTTAATTACGTGCAATAGTTAGGGAGCGGGACTTTAGTCTTAAACCGCCCGGGTAGGGTAGACTAGAAAAGGGACAACAGAAGGAAAGGCACCGAGACACAACTGTGTCGAGTGCCATTTCCTTCTGTTACCCTAATTAGAACTAGAAGTAAAGCGAAAACGAGTGGTAGGGAAACGAGCCTCAAGAACAACCTAAAAAGCTTGAAGAAACACCTAACAAACGAAGAAACCGCAAGAAGGAAAGAGGGGAGGGGTTGGCCCGGCGGCATGTAGTCCGTGAGCCCGGCGGCAAATGGTTCAGTCGATTCACTGGGTGAAACACAATTCAGTTAAACCATAACCCCAGAACTCAAAAACGCTAAATCGATATGTGATTCACGAAGGCTTCAGCGCCTCTCTTGCAAAAGGATCACACTGTTCACCCAAGTGGGAAAACACAGCGATACACACTTAGTCACAGGTCCATCCAATGTCATAATTCACAGGGAAAGGAACGAGGGAACAGCAAGGTGAAGGGGTCAGCGTACTTGAAGTGTTGAACAAAGTTCAGAAGCTAGTTACTGAATACTTAGCACTCTAGTTACTGAATACAGCAGTGAATGCCGAAACACGACGTCTCAAGACGCATGTGGCTTGAAGGTGTGACCCAAGGTGGTCTGCTCGTCCGGGAGGCTCTGCGTACGGGCTTCTGGGGCCTCCAGTGCCCTATCCATTGCCGAGAGCTCTCCCTCTCCTCGCTTGCCCTCTCCTTCTTCCTTGGCCTCTCCTTTGGACTTTTCCTGGCTTCTGTCCTTTGGATTTGGCTCCTGATCCCTCCATCCCCTTCATCTCCACCGGTCGTCCCGGCGGGAAGGGTTTTGAGTTCGGCGGCCACTCAGGCCAGGAGGAGGTTGGAAGGCTACCGCCCGACTTTGCATGAGCGAGAAACCGGCTGACCTGTCTGACGTCGTCAAGGCACTCGATCGTTTGACCCTAGCCGTCCAGGACCAGGGTCCTCGGCAGTCTCAGTCAGCGGCCGCTTCTGAGTCTTGGGAGGTGGTGGAGGAAACTCCGGAGGAGGACCCGTCGGCTACTTCATCGGCAGCAGCACAGGCTCCAGCAATTGATCCCTATAAGGGCATCGCCTACGGCGACTACGACGCTCTCATCAAGCAGCTGGTTCCTTGCCCTTGGAAGTTGGTTGATTCTTGCAAGGCTCTTCACGGAGGCAAGTTCGGTAAGCAATACCGGGCCGAGAGGGCTTGGGAGGCTGGACTTTGGGCACGACACACCTTGGAGGGTAGAGTTCCGAAGCCAAGGGCATCGTTCGACATTGACTTGGCTCCGACAGTCTACGTGGTGTTGCGAGCACCCGGGCTATCAGCGCCTACTCGGTTCAGCAAGTACGCTGATCTCCATCGACTCGTGGGCCGTCTTTCAGACCACCCAGACGTCGTCTGTCACGGCTTCCCTTCACAGGCAGAAGCCAAGATCTACTGCGAGGCCGCCGGCCTCGAGTACCCCCAGCCGCACCAATGGAGCTGAACGCCGGCCATGTGGTCGACGAGGGAGGCACCAGCCCCCTGCTCTTCAGGTGGTCTCATGGAGGAGGAGAAGGTGTTGCTCCAGGCGAAGTTCTGAGTTTCTGCTTTGTGTTGATGCGGAGGCCTGGAGGCCTGCTTTTGGCCTTGCCGGCTGCAGCGGTCGAAGAGGAGGTTTTGCAGAGAAATTCAATTACCATCGCAGGCGAAGATCCGCTGGTGGGCCCGTTCACAGTTCTTGCAGCCCCTGCAGTCTCCTTCTCCATCGACGGCACGGTCGAGGACATCGACGAGTCAGTTGGAGTCATCTTGGTAGATATGAGCCATCCCGCAGTCGCCCCTTTGCTTGGCGATCTTCCTGGCGGAGATGGACTAGACCCCAATACAGTACCCTTCTACGAGTGGGACTTTTTGGTCAGGCCTGCTCTCGATCGGTTGCTGGAACAAGCCCGAGTATGGTTGGCAGTCGATCGGACAGAAAGGGTGGCTTTCTACTCGGCGGCCGAGGAGGAGGCTCCTGCAAGGACACACCCGCCTGGGGTCACAGCTCACGGTGGCACTACTTCAGGCGAGCCAAAGCCAAAGCCCAAAAGGCACACAGTTGCTTCCCTGGCTTCACAAATGGAGACAGTGGTCGGTGCATTGCCGTCAATCATGGATCAGCTGGGTCAGCTTGCAGCCAGACAGACAGCATTGGAGCAGGGTCAGAGGTCGACAGAACAAGCAAGGCCGTCGACCCCACAGATAGTTCCAAAGGCCAGCATGCCTGTCACAGCCCTGCTGGGAAGCCCGACAGTACCTTTGGAAGTTGTGGCAAAGGCCATTGGGCCCCCTCCCAAAACCAAGGCACCCCCGTTGCCAGGGCCCCCTACCAGGGCCTACCGTTCCCTTCCAGACGACGATCCAGCCCAGCTAGATGGAGAACCACTTACCCCCCGGGCCTCACCTTTTGCGGAGGCCCTTCTGGAGCAGAGCAAGGCATTGGCTGCTTTGGTTGCCCACTTCCAGGTGGGGAGTGCAGATCCCATGACAGAGCTGGCCAGCTCATCGGGGACAATGGGCGTCAAGGGTGCTATGGGAAGGGAGAAGCTTCAGTGCGGGCTCAGGGCAGTTCTTCATGAGAGTATCCCAGAGCATGAGCCGGCGTATGTCGCCTACTGCTCCAGTGCCTCAGGCCGAGTCAGACCTGGCTTCGATCTCCATGCTGTCCTACCTCGAGAAGTTCGGGGGTTTTGGCCAGAACAGGCATCTTGGCCTCATCAAGTGGTCGCTGGCCCACGTGTACGACTCAGCCTCTCGCGAGCAATGGGGGGCAGTCAAAGACCACCTGGCCATGACTTGTGTGATGATAGACCAGGCGAACCAAGACGGTGGAGATTCATGGCAGTTACCTTGGTTGCTGAGGCTCTTGGACGACCCTCCATCGAATCTGTGGATGAATCGCAATACCACGGCTACAGGAGCCCGGAGGCCTTTTGCTCCTCTGGTCTCCCAGAGTTGGGCTACAGTGGCTCTTGCTTTCCTCAAGGAGACGGAGATTCTCAACAACAAGAAGCAAGAGGTTGCACAGCATCCCAAGTCCAGCCCTCCAGCGGCCGCGGCTGCCGACCCAAAGGTGAAGTCAAAGCCAAGGAAGAAGCCGTGGCAACAGAAGCAGCCGTCCGACCAGACAGGCGGGGCCCCAGACTCCTAGTCGCCCCTTCAGCACACACTGCACACGGCAACCAGGCCGGAGAGAGCTCGGCTAGCTTTTCTCCTGCCGCTCCTGCTGAGCGTGGCCATGTCAGAGGTCCCTCAGCTCCCTGGAGCACACGTGCCAGTCACCACGAACACAGCACAACCAAATTCGAAGGAGACGAGGGTGGCCTCGATATGACTACATTGGAAGTTGACAAGCTTTCTTTTTCCTTTGTCTCCTGGTGCATGTCATTGACAAGACGAGTGCTAGCAGCCAAAACGGCATTCTCCAGGTACTTGTCTACCACACTCCATGCTTGCAGAGATGGCCCAGAGTCGTCTCCTACCGCTTTGTTTCCTCTGCCGATGCCGAGCTATGCTCCCTTTGCTGCAGGGGTCCCGGGTGAGTCCAGCAAGAAGAAGCGAGAAAGGGCTGTTGATCGGGCTCTCCACGTTGTTGTGAGCGCTCTCAACTACATCTACATGGCCAGCTCGTTTCCTCCTTTGGAGCTTATTCGGAGGCAGCCAAATCCTCAGCAGAAGAAGGCCCTGTTGGACTTGAGGCTGCTTTTGAGCGCGAATGACCATGGGCAAGTCATTGAAGTTGCTTGTTCAGGTCGAAAGAATTTGAGGCTGCTAAGTAGGCTACAGGAGCTTGCAACGGCAGTTGATGCATTGGGGCTCTCTACGGGACCATATGCAACAGGTCATCAAGGAGCACAAGTGAAAACAGACAATAGCAAGCACCCACAGCTCTCGCCCTTTACAAATCTCAATGCCGATCGTCTCAAGATTTCAGGCAGAGGCCAATGGGATGCTGCGAGTTACATGCCGCCTCTTTTTCAGATGAGCTACTTGGAGCCTCAGCTTCTGGAACTCGATGAACCTGTTTTTACCCGTGGAAAGCCTAACCTGGGCTTGGACAAGCCTGAGGAGGTAATGAAGCTCTTCAAGAGATGGGATGAGTTGGATTTGCTAGCTCTCCACCCGGCTAGCCAGGTCGATGCTGGCCCGGACAACAAAGTGAAGATCTTCAATGCCTACAAGTCCTCCGAGTGGGATCGCCAGATTGGCGACCGACGCCTCCAAAATGCAAGGGAAGGAAGAGTCATTGGCCCTTCCCGAGATCTTCCTTGTGGGCCTCTCATCACGCGGCTTTTTGTTCCCCCTGGATGCGGCCTTAGGATCTGCATCACCGACCGCTCCGACTACTACCACCAGATGGGAGTCACATTGGAGCGCTCTCGGTCAAACTTGGTGTGGCCATCGTTTTCGCTTGGCAGCTTCAAGGGCTTCAGGGCGTACAAGGACTACCTGGCGCGAGCCACCAACAAGAAAAAGCCGCCAGACAGGAATGTCCACGGAGATGGTCTTCATGGGGTGAGGCCTGCAGCTTTTGGAGTCGAAGATGAAACACCAATTTTTGGAGGCTTCAAATCGGTCCTGCAAGGTGACCACCTTGGCGTTGAATATGGCATAGTTGCTCATGCAGGATTTCTGGAGGCCCATGGACTTCTTCATCGGAACGATCGTTTGCAGACGTCAACCTTGATCAGACCAAGGGGCCTCTATGAGGGCCTGGTCATTGATGATTATTTTGCGATTGCACCAGTGCCTGTCGAGCAGCTGAAAAGTCACAACTACGCCCCCAGCAAGGCTTTTGGTGCTTTCAAGAAGGCCAAAGAGGCGTACAGTGGAGCAGGCCTTGCAGGTTCAGATGCCAAAGATGTCATAGATGAGGTTTGTGCTGCTGTTATTGGTGCAGAAGTTGACTCCCGCTATGAGCTGGCTTCTCAAGGCCTCCTTCCAGTTGGGGCTCCGGCAGCCAAGAGGATGTCATTGAGTTGGATAGCGCTCTCAGCGGCCAAGCTTCCTTACACGTCAGATGCAGTACATAGCTCGCTTCTTGGGGCTTTGGTATCGGCCTTCTGCTTCAGGAGGTGTGGCATGGCCCTCTTACAACACCTTTTCAAGATCATCCCGCCAGAGGAGTTGGACTCTGAAAAACCTGTGTTGAGGCTGTTACCAAGAAAAGCTGCAGATGAGCTTGTGCTTGGAGCTGTTCTCTTACCGATCATGGTTTTGAATGTCAAGGCGGAGGTCTCCCAGACGATCTTCAGCACGGACGCCTCGAACTTGAAAGGGGCAGTTTGTGAGGCTTCGATTCCCAAGAAAGTTGCAGAAGCTCTATGGCAGTCGGGTGACTTCAAAGGTGGGCACACGGTCCTTGAGAGCCTGCCAAAGTCTTTGCTCAAGTCTCATGGAGGTTTTGAGGAGGAGGATTGGCGGGCAGAACTTGAGGATTTTGGTGACCCTTTTGAGACATCGCCGGCTCCTGTGGTTGAGAGGCCTTTCGCTTTGCTGTATGACTTCATTGAGGTCTGTGGAGGCAGTGGAGTTGTCTCAGAGTGTATGGAGAAGCTGGGCTACGTTGTCGGCCCTATCATTGATTTGAGCTTTTCCCCTCACTATGACCTCACTCAGACCAGAACCTTGGAATGGCTGCTGTACATGATTCAGGGAGGCCGGCTACGTTCAATCATGCTAGAGCCACCTTGTACAACTTTTTCAGCAGCGGCACATCCTATGGTCAGATCATACAAGCAACCACGAGGTTTCAACCAGAAGCTCACAAAGGTGTGGATTGGCAACCGCCTGGCCTTCTTCTGCTTGGTGCTCCTCAGGGCCGCCCTTCATGCATCAGTTTTTGGGCTGCTCGAGACCCCAAGAAGGAGCAAGATGGCATGGTTGGTTGAATGGAGACGGTTGCTGGAACATGACGGGGTTGAGGAGACCTTTACAGCATCATGTTCTTTTGGCAGCCCCTTCCAGAAGGAGTTCCGCTTCCTGACAGCAAATATGAAGCCTCATGGCATTTGCTTTCCATGCTCCAGGGACCACATCCACGTCAAGATTGAGGGATCCATCACAAAGGGCTCAGCAGTATACTGTCCCCGGCTTGCGAAAGCTTTGGCTGATCTTTTTGATGCACATCTACGAGCCGGTGCCAAAGCTTCCCTCAGGACAGATGTCAAGGCCGAAGGTTTGGAGAGCCCTCTCCTGAATGATGTGGTCAAGAAGTACAAATGGCATACTACTTCTGTTTGGAGGTGGAAAGGCAAGTCACACATCAATGTCCTGGAGTTAGCAAGCTACTTTCAGGCCATAAAGAAGGCGGCAAGAAAAGGAGGAGGACGTTTTTGCTTCCTGCTGGACTCCTATGTGGCGCTCAGAGCAAGTTCAAAAGGAAGATCGTCATCTCGTGCACTAGCGCCACTGCTCAGAAAGATTCTGGCAGTCTCATTGGCTTTTGCTGTGTACACAGCGGGATTGTTCTGTCCCACTCGTCTCAATCCCTCAGATGACCCTACCAGAGATGCGGTGCTTCGATCTCCCCTCAATGCTCCTCCCATCGTGGACTTTTTGGATCTTGATGGAATTTATGCTTTTGCTTCACTGCCGAGGTCCCGTCGTTGGGCCAGCAACTGGTCTTCTCTGTCGCTTGGACTTCTTGTCCGAGCCCGTGTCTTGCACCAGGGTTTTCTTGACCCTTGCTTCCGACTTCTCAGCTCTCGGCCTCCCCTCTCTCTTCATGAGCTCCTTATGGACTTTGATCAGACTCTTGGCTTTCCCGGAGAGGGGCCCCCCTGGACGAGCTTTTTGTAGCTTCCTTTGTTTTTGGCTGATTTTATGTCAGCCTCTCGCGAGCCATGGAATGCTGCCGCGGCATCACCAGGACGAGAGCAGAGCACTGGTCAGAGCAACTCGGCCTTTAGAGTTTGGGAGGCCGGTGCAGGACGTCACTCGTTCGAATCGCCAAAAGCTGCTGAAGAGTTTTGCGGATTGGCTGGAGGAGCGTGGGGTGTCTTTCGACTTTTTGTTGGGCATCTCCCCCAAAGAGCCTGAGCAATTGGTCTCCTGGCTGGTCCACTTCGGAAGAGACTTGTATCAGTCAGGTAGACCTTACAGTCACTATGCCGAGACCTTGAACGCCATAGGCTCATGCCAACCGGCTGTGCGCAGGCTCCTTTCAGGAGCGTGGGATTTGGCCTTTTCATGGCTCCGCGAGGAGCCTTACGAGCACCATACAGCATGTCCATACCAGATCATGCTTGCAGCGGTGTCCCTGTCCATCATGTGGGGCTGGCCTCGCGTTGCGGGGGCCCTGGCTTTGTCGTGGGGTGCAATATGCCGCATAGGCGAAGTGGTTTCTGCGACAAGAGCTGATTTAGTTTTGCCGGTCGATACAGATGGATCATTGTGGACAGTGATGCTGCGTGTTGGTGAACCTAAGACCAGGTTTCGTGCGGCGCGTCATCAGTTGGCGCGCCTTGATTGGGAGGACTTGGTCGGCCTTGTTGTTGACATATATGGCAAGCTGTCACCTCATGAGCGACTTTGGCCATGGTCACCACAGGCCTTGAGGACTCGCTTCAGGCAGTTGCTTGAGGCCATAGGCCTTCCGACGACTCATGGGCCTCTTGGACGGCCCCTTGATCTTGGAAGCATGCGGGCAGGCGGAGCGACACATTTGATGTTGATCACTGAGGACTCGGAGCTGGTAAGACGGCGAGGTAGGTGGATATCCCACCGCACCATGGAAATTTACATCCAAGAAGCATCATCGACGACGTTCTTTCCAAGGCTACCAGTTCATGTGAAAGCAACAATCCACCAGCTGGCTTTAGCTTTTCCCGAGGTGTGCCGCAAGATGGAAGTCCTGCAGGATTGTCACCTGCCAAGTCAAACCTGGTATCATTTCTTTGCAGGACGGTCAGACCCGAGGATCGGGAAAAAGTTGGGAGCTGGAGGCAACCGAAGGTTTGCAAGACAAGAGAAGACACGCAGAAGCAGCATG